TTGTTTCTCAAATTCTTTTAATTGAGATGTTAGGTTGTTAATATAAGATCTTTCTAGCTTTTTGATTTGGGCATTTAGTGCATTTTTCTATTAACACTGCTTTAGCTGTGTCCCAGAGATTCTGGTACATTGTCTTTTTGTTCTCATTAGTTTCAAAGTTCTTGATTTCTGCCTTAATTTCATTATTTACCCAAGAGTCAGTCAGGAACAGGTTTTTCAATTTTCATGTAGTTGTATGATTTTGAGTGAATTTCTTAGTCTTCAGTTCTACTTTGATTCCATTGTGATCTGAAAGATTGTTATGATTTCACTTCTTTTGCATTTGCTGAGGAGTGTTTTCTTACAATTATGTAATAGATTTTGGAGTAAGTGCCATGTGGCAATGAGAAGAATGTATATTCTGTTGGTTTTTGGTGGAGATTTCTGCAGATATCTATCTATCAGGTCCACTTTATCCAGAGCTGAGTTCAGGTCCTGAATATCTGTTAATTTTCTGTCTTGATGATCTGTTTGTCTAATATTGTCAGTGGGGTGTTAAGGTCTCTTGCTATTATTGTGTGGGAATCTACATCTCTTTGTAGATCTCTTAAGAATTTGCTTTATGAAGCTGGGTGCTTCTGTATTGGGTGCATGTATATTTAGGATGGTTAGCTTTTCTTGTTGAATTGAACACTTCACAATTATGTAATGTTTTTTTATGATGTATGTTGGTTTAAAGTCTGTTTTGTCAGAAACTAAGATTGCAACCCCTGCTTTGTTTTCCATTTGCTTGTAAATTTTCCTTTATTTCTTTTTTTTGAGCTTATGTGTGTCTTTCCATGTTAGATGGATCTCTTGAACACAGCATGTTGATGGGTCTTCACTCTTTATCCAGCTTGCCATTCTTTGTCTTTTAATAGGGCATTTAACCCATTTAAGTTTAAAGGTAGTATTGTTATGTGTGAATTTAATGCTGTCATCATGATGCTAGCTGGTTATTTTGCAGACTTGTTTATGTGGTCAATTCATAGTGTCACTGGTCTGTGTACTTCAGTGTGTATTTGTCGTGGCTGCTAATAGTTTTTCCTTTCCATACTTAATGCTTCCTTCAGAAGCTCTTGCAAGGCAGGCCTGGAGGTGATGAATTCCCTCAGCATTTGCTTCTCCTTCACTTAGGAAGCTTAGTTTGGCCAGATATGAAATTCTGGGTTGGAAATTCTTTTCTTGGCCCCCAATCTCTTCTGGCTTCAACTGAGAGGTCTGGTGTTTGTCTGATGGGCATCCCATTGTAGACAACCTTGCCTTTCTCTCTGGCTGCCCCCTAACATTTTTTTCTTTCATTTTGACCTTGGAGAATGTGATGATTACATGTCTTGTGGTTGATCTTCTCATGGAGTGTCTTACTGGGGTTCTCTGCATTTCCTGAATTTGAATGTTGACTTTTCTTGCTAGATTGTGAAGTTCTGTTGCATGATATCCTGAAGTATGTTTTTCAGCTTGGTTCTGTTCTTCCAGGTACCCCATCAGTCATAGGTTTGGTCTTTCTACATAGTCCCATAGTTCTGGGAGGTTTTGTTTGTTCCTTTTCTTCTTCGTTTTTTAATGTTGTCTGCCTGTCTTATTTCAGCAAGATAGTTTTCAAGTTATGAATTTTTTTCCTTTGGTTGGTCTGTTTGGTTATTGATACTTGTTGCATTGTGAAGGTCTCATATTGTTTTTCAGCTCCATCAGGTCATTTATATTCCTCTCTAAACTGGTTGTTCTGGTTTAAAGCTCCTGTAATGTTTTATCATAGTGCTTAGTTTCTTTGCATTGAGTTAGATCATGCTCCTTAGCTTAGTGAAGTTCCTTATTACCCACCTTCTGAAGCCTGCTTCCATCATTCAGCCTTCTCAGCCTCAGCCCACGTCTGTGCTGTTGTAGGACAGGTGCTGTCATTTAGAGGAGAAGAGACATTCTGACTTTTTGAGTTTTCAGCATTTTTGCTTTGATTATTTCTCATCTTTGTGGGCTTATCTACCTTCGATTTTTAAGGTTGCTGATCTTTGAGTGTGGATTTTGTGGCTGGTAGGTGTTACAATTTTATCATTGACTCAGAGAAGCATTTTGTAGATTAACATTTTGCATTTCACTTGGCATTCTGACATTTAGTGTGTGATTTTCTTGACAGTTAAAAAAATTTCCTTATTAAAACTATCAGTCTTTAAAAATTTATTCATCATTTTTATACTTAGAATTTTGTGGGGTTTGTTTGTTTGCTTGTGTGTTCGTTTGCTTGTTTTGAGACAGTCTCATTTGCCAAGGCTGGAGTGCAGTGGTGCAATCTCAGCTCACTGCAACCTCCACCTGCCAGTTTCAAGTGATTTGCCTGCCTCAGCCTCCTAAGTGGCTGGGATTACAGGTGTGCACACCATGCCCAGCTAAATTTTTTTTTTAGTAGAGATAGAGTTCACCATGTTGGCCAGGGTGGTCTTGAACTCCTCACCTCAGGTAATCCGCCTGCCTCAGCCTCCCAAAGTGCTGGGATTACAGGTGTTAGCCACCGCACCCAGCCACTTATAGTTTTAATTCTTTAATTATCCTTTTTATATATCAAACATATTGAAGTCAAAACAAAATAATAACTTTTCACTTGTCCAAGGAAATTGACAAATTTTTAATTCTCTCCTTTCCTAGCTTGCTTTCTTCCACCTTTGTAAATTTAAGCAGATGCCAGTAGTTTTAAGAAACTTTACAGTAGTTGTAAGGAATATTTTAACAGTTTGATTATATCATCTCATTGCCTTCTGGCTTCTATTGTTTCTGATAAGAAGTTAGCCTTCAATATTATTGAGATTCTTCTGTATACGATGGGAAGAGCATTTCTCTTGCTCTTTTCAAGATATCAGCTTTGACTTTGAACATTTTGACTGTGATGTGTCTGGCTGTGGATATCTTTACATTTATCCCTCTTGGAGTACATTGAGCATCTTAAATTTGTAAATGATACTATTAATCAAAATTGGGAAACTTTCAGTCATTTTAAAAGTATTTTCTGTTTCATTTTTCTTCTCTTTCTGGCTCTCCTATTATGCATGTGTTGGCATGCTTAATGGTGTCCCAGATTTCTCTGAGAACCTGTTCATTTTTAAAATTCTTTTTACATTTTGTTCTTCAGATTATATAATCTTTATTGATTTATCTTCCAGTTGCCATTCCAAATTGTTTACATGAAAATATATACATATCCACTTATAAATTATTAGAATTGATTTTATAGTTTAAGGTTGTTCAATACCAGGTCAGTGTACATAATTAATTCTATTTCTAAGAGTTTCAACAAATAAGAAATACAATTTAAATATAGATACCATTTACAATAGTATATAAAAATCAAACCCTGGAAATTTTTGTGAAAACTGTCAAGCAGATTCAAAAACTCATCCAGAAATTCAAAGCACCAGGAGTAGCTAAAATAATCTTAAAACACAAAAAGGGATAATTGCTTTACTGGATATCAAGATCTTTGATAAAACTACATAATTAAAAACAATTTGGTATTAGCACCAGGATAGAAAAACAGAGCAATAGAAGAAGGATAGAGAGCCCAGAAATAGAGCCATGCATATATTGACACTTGATTTATTGGAAAGTCGGGTTTATGGAACAGTAGGGTAATCTTTGACCCTTCCTCCTTTCACATCATACAGAAAAACTGATTCCAGATGGATTATAGATCTAAACGTTAAAGGCAAAACAATAAATCTTCTTAAAGACAGTATAAATTATCTTTTTGACTTTAGAATAGGGAAAGATTTCTAAAATGAGCTGAAAACCCGGTAACCATCAAGTATAATACCAATAAATTGCACTACATTAAAATTAAGGACTGCTTCCCATCAGAACACATTATCAGTACAGTACAAAACAAGCCATGTAGTGGGAAAAGCGTATCTCTACACATATAACAACAACAACAAAAAAAACCCTTAAGTCTTGAATATCAAACTCCTCCAAGTCGGGCAACAAAAAATCCAAAAAACACTGGAAGCAGATTGAACAGGCAAGTCAGAAAAGAAGCCAAAGATACTAATCAAAGGATATTTTGTATCATTATTGATAAGAGCAAACAAATTAAAACCCTGATGGTATATCTTTACATATGTATGAGAATGATTTAACTTAAAATCTGATAATACAAAGTGTTTGTTAGGCTGTGAAGTAATGGAACTCTTATATGTTGCTGGTGGAAGTGAAAACTAGTTCAACTATTTTGAAAAAACTGTTTGAAAAACTGTTTAGCATCTTCTGAAATGGAAGATATATATATATCCTGTTTGTAGAGCTCTAAACTGGAAAAAACTCAAATGTCCAGCAACAGTAGAATGAATAAAAAAGTGTGCATGTTCATATGATTTAGTACTGTACAGTACCAAAAATAAACTCACTACAGCTACAGAAAACAGTATTGATAAATCTCACATTATTGAGTGGGGAAAGAACACAAAATAATACTCTGTGATTCCATTTACATGAAGTTAAAATTGATTAAATGTTTAGCAATGCAAGATTAGGGGATAAGCTATAAAGAAGAGCAAAGTTGTTATTACCATAAATGACAAGAGAGTGGCTGTCTTTAGAAAAGTGGGAGGGTGTGTCAATTGACAGAGATCTGAGGAATATTTGGGGGGTTGCTGGCAGTGCCATTGACCATAGTTTCATGGGTTCATTCATTGAGCTCTACATTTTGTTCTGTGTATTTTTTATTTGTATTATTTCACATACTTACAAAAAGTTTAAATATAATGTTACATTACAAATCAACCTTTATGCAAAGATTTGAAGGAATTAGAGTTAGTAAAGTGATTGTTTTTTAGGCTTTTTCAGTGGTATATCACATTTAGTACAGTCAACATGGGAGGATTTTGATAGTGTAAAATGGTGCACGATACAGTGAACAAACTTGATGGGAAAGACAATATATTCAACTGTAAAAAGATATGTAAGATGTTGGTCTTTTTAATCTATAAATGTGTTTGCAGAAAATAAGTGTTCATAGTCGTTTGGGGATTATTTATAATCCTACATCAAAAATAAATGAAGAGAACACAGCTATTTCTAGAGGAATTCTGGCAGCTTTTCTTACACAGAAGAACAGCTTTTTGAGCAGCTTTCTTGGGCAACTGACAAAGGAAGAAACTGCTACAGCTATTTACTCTGGAGATAAAATTAAAACATTCCTTATTGAGGTCAGTAACTTGGTTTGAAATATTAAATATGTACATATTGCATATTTTAAAAGGGTCAGTGAGTGTACTTGGAGACGTTGTTACTGAAAAACATTGATAGGTTTAAATAAATGGGGATAACAAACATTTCAAATAGGAAAAAATAAACATTAAATTTGATGGCTTTGCAGAGGCATTTAATAAATCAGATTGCATATGTTTCATTAACTACTTCATGATTCTTAAAGTTGATGGCATTCTAGTTAGGATATGTACTTAAGTAAAGAATTGGAAATTAAAGCATTGTATAAATAATCCTCAGGTATTTCACTGAAAGGGTCCATTATGGGGGGAATTTCAAAGATGATCCTCTGGAAGAATCATTATTCATTCAAAATATATATATTGATTGTTTATCAGGCAATCGAGGTAAACTTATAAACAAGCAGATAGAATCCCTGTTTCTGTTCTTTGTGGAGCTTACTCTGTAGCAGGAAAGACATACAGAATATTAATAAGTGGTTTTGATTGATTTGCTTTCAAAAATCAGGTCATTAGCTAAGGATTAGAGTGACAGTATGTAGTTTTAAAGGGTCGAGGACAAAAAGAGGAAATGTCAAATATTTTTCAATTATTCTGAGATTGAGAACATAAATTAAATATATTAGTGGAGGAAGATTTCTGGTTGTTGCTGAGGGCCCACTTGAGGCTAATGATATAATTTAAAGTGAGATCAGCATTGTTTACATGTTTTTCTCCAGCTGTATTTTACTGTTGTTTTCATCCAGTTGCAGACTCAGCAGAGTTTTGTTTAACCAAAGTTGGGGTTTTGCCCAATGAATATGACTAAGGGGAAGCATTCAAGGAAGCTAAACATGGAAAAGGTTTTGGTTATAGTAAAGTACTCAGAGATAGAATTTGATTAAGAGGAAATTATACCATGGGAAGGACGATGGACAGTGAATAAGTGGTAGAGTCTGTGGACCGAAAGGTTGAGTAATGGTTGATCTAGGGATAGGGAATGGTCACAAGGTTGTGGTCAGAGAGGGGATGATTGAAATGGGGATTTTGGAGGTAAGAAGGATAAGGGGCTTCACGGTCCAACACCACACCCACTGGCTACATATTGCTATGTTATACTTAAATTAAAATTGAATAAGATTTTGAATTCAGTTCCTCAGTCATAGTAGCCACATTTTGAATGCTGCATCACCATGTGAGGCCGTGGCTGCCATTTTAGACAGTGGAGGAGAACATTTTCATCATCATGAGAGCATCTGGGAACTTGTTAGAAATTCGCAATTTAAGGCCCTGATTCTATTGAAGTAGAATCTTCATTTTAACAAGATACCAGGTGGTTAGTATGCACATTAATGTTTGAGAAGTATTGAGAAAGAGCAATGCACCTTAGTATGAAGGGGTAATGAGCATATGTGTGGTTTATGTACTGTGAATGTCCACACATTTTTTTTTACTATGACCAAGGGTTACTTTTACTATGTCCATATTTAAATATGTTATTATGAAACTGGTCTTCTGGGATTAGTATAACGGGGAAAAAGACAGTATTTCCATTTTAAACACTTTTTAAATTGAGAATACCAAAGGAGAGGTACTGCATTCAGAATTTAATAAATATTTTACTTCATTTTCTTCATATCAAATTTTATTTAAATTGATGTTCCCTAGTAATTTACTAATCTGGTAATTTCCCTGAAATTCCCAAAGAATGAATAGCAAACTGTATCAACTTGTAATAAGATTTAAGCATATTATAAATGACTTGGCAAAACAATTCTTTTTTTAAAAATATTCTTTCAGAAGAAAATTATACTAAATAGTGATTTTTTAAATTATTATTTTAAATTTTTTACTATTAAAGGAATTTTTAAAGAAAATAATTAATATATTTGCTGTTTTCTTATTAGTTTCATCAATCTTTACTTTTGCTTTAGGGAATGGATAAGAAAGCTTTTGAGAAAAAATACAACACTGTTGGAGTGAATATTTTCCGAACTCACCAGTTGTTCTGTCAAGATGTACTTAAATTGCGACCTGGAGAAATGGGTATTGTCAGCAATGGGAGAGTAAGTAGAAAAAGCTATTTCTTTCTTTTTCCAGTGACACTGTAATACACTGGTCAGACTTTTTTCTGTCAGAATTCACTGATGCAACACACACAGAGGGTGGTGTTCATGAGCTGAAGACACCAGACACAACTCAGCATAAATAAAATGGGACCATGACACACTTCCCCTTCGTTCATTTTTTCCCCCATTCAGTGATGACGGTGATGTGGATAAGAAAGAATGTTCTTTATGTGTCATGCTTTTATTTTCTTCTAATATAAGTATTAGAACAAGTAACACACATCAAAACATTGTCATTGAGAATCACTGTTGTAGCAAATGGGTTATTATGTCTTTTTTCTTGTTCCTACATTTGTTTATCTTAAATAGCATTAGATACTATTAGAAGTTTCGCAGTATCAAACAGTATAAATTGCCGTGTAATATTTATTAATATAATATTTATGAAGCTATAGGAAGAAAATCTCTTTCTTTGACCACCCTAATAAAACTTAGTGTTAATAGCCTCTTGTTTTTCCTTCCAACCCTTTTTTCTACCATACATGGATAGCCATTTCTGTTTTTTTCAAAATGCATGATTATAATCCTATAATGTATAATTTTATATCATGGTTTTTCTGTTAATATAAATATTTTTCTGATTAGTCTTTGTAGACACATACAGAATAAATGGATGATATCTATATGTTAATATTTTTAATATGATAGTATGATTTTATTTTATACAAATTAAGCAAAATGAATCTGGTGCTTAGATTTATTAAGAAATCAACTAATGCAGTGTGTTTGACATATCTGTGGCTTGAATTTTTAGATTATATATCCCTAAATCATCTTCAAAGTTCTAATGCACTCAATGTTTTATTTTTCACTTCTTTATGAACTCTGTTCACATGCATGTTAGATTCAGGTTCATCTGTGTACAGTGCTATTTTATACATAAATGATAACAGCCGCCATTTGTTGTAAAAAGCATTGGTGAATTTTTGTAGTGAGATATATAGAGCTCTATAAATGGAAGTACTTTTTCTCTTTAAAAGTTGCTTTGGGAGGAAATACAGTTTTTAAAAACATTTCTGAAGCTTTTGGCTGTCTTTGGCCATGTCAAGGTTTTTAAGGAATAAAGAGGGAAACAATGATACCTGTTTTATCTAGTACTTTGCCTTTTAGTTATACACTAGGGAAAAGCTACCCTATGTCACCTTTGTCACTTTGATATAATTCATATAGTGTTACTGACTTTAATGATAACAAATACTAGATACAGCTATGTTCAACTTAGTTCTCATAAACATAAAACTATGTTTTGTCCTCAGTTTCCTTAAAATTGACAAAAAATATTAAGATATTAATCTTCTACCTACTGTGAACCAAACATTCTTCTAGATTCGGAAGGCACAGAAGTAAACAACTGTGTTTTCATGGGGCTAACGTTTTGATGGGTAGAAACAGACAACAAACAGTACCCTTACTGATAAGGCATCTATCTTAAGTATGTTTATGCTGTTACAAAAATATGTCACAGACTGGCTAATTTATAAAGAACAGAAATTCATTTCTTACACTTCTGGATGCTTGGAAATTTAAGGCCAAGGTGCTGCCACTGATGTCTGGTGAGGGCTGCTCTCTGCTTCAAGGATGGCTCCTTGTTGCTGTTTTTACATATTGGAAAGTAGAAGGGCAGCAGAGTGCTGCCTTCAATCCTGAACTATTTTATTACAAGGATACAGATTCCATTCATAATGGCAGAGCCCTCATGGGTGAATCATCTCCCAAAGGCCACATCTCTTAATGCTATCACATTGGCCACTAAGTTGCAACACATGGATTTTGAGGGACACCTTTGTCTTAGTCTGTTTTGTGCTGCTGTAACAAAATACCTGAGACTGTATAATCTCAGAAATTTATTAAAGAGCAGAAATTTATTCTCTCATACTTCTGGCATCTGGGAAGTCCAAGATCAAGGCATTGACATCTGATGGGAGATTTCTTGCTGCATCCTCTCATGGCAGAAGGCCGTGGGGCAAAAAGGGGATGAATGCTATGTTCTTATATGGCAGGAGAGAGCAAAACCACCCCTGAAAGCCTTTTTATAGTGACATTAATCCATTTTGAGGTCACAGCCCTCATGACCTAAACACCTCCCATTAGGCCCTAGCTCCCAACACTGTTGCATTGGGGATTCAGTTTTAACATGAATTTTGGAGAGGACAAAAACATTCACACCATAGCACATTCTTAGCAGGGTCATTTGGGCAAAGAACTAAAGAAGGTGAGGGAGGAAGCCATGCCAAATATCTGGAAGAGGATTGCTCTAGACAGAGGGTACGGCGAATGCAAAGGATGTAAGGTGAGATCATGTCTGTGAATCCTGTGAATCATGTCTGCTATTCTAAGAATAGCGGGTAGGAAGAAAGCAGTCAGGAGAGAGGCTCAAAGAAGTAGCTGGGGGCGATCATACTGGTTTTATAGGCAGTTTAAGGACTCCCACTTTACTCTGAATGAGTTGAGTACATAGTTCTGGGCAGGAGAGTGTCATTGTCTAGCTAATGTTTTATTTGGATCACTAGAGGCTGTTACATTGCGAATATACTGTAGGGGTCAGGGAGCCAGTTGGGAGATACGGCAGTAGTCCAGATGAGAGATGGTGGTCCAAGTGGTGGTAGTGAGAAGTGGATATGGGATGTATTTTGTATGAAGAATGGACAGGAATTGTCCAGGGACTTTGGTGTGAGATGTGAGAGAACTAAGTTACTGGCAGAATGGAGTTACTGTGGATCAAGATGGGGAAGGCTGTAGGTAGAATTAGTGGGGTTGTCAGGAGAAGTGTAAGAGGAAAGAGAATTCAGTTTGGACGTTCAAACAGACTTGAGAGGGTGATTGAATATGAGTGTAGTTCAGAGAAAAGATTGGGGCTGGAGATAGATATTAAGTCCAATTATGTTGACTTTTTATGTTGACTAATAGAAAAATATAATTTCGATTATCCTTTTAATTGTAGAACTGTGGTTTTAATAGAAAAGTTTATTGGAAAATAAGTACTGTGGTTTATGAGCAATAATGTAATGCTTAGCTTATCATTCTGTCTGAATGCTATAAAGCATAATAATCACAGCAATGTGGCAGATGTTATAAAATTTGTAATCAGTTTAATGCTTGAAATAAGTATGATATTTTAGTATAAATCTTCATTCTGAAACTGTTCAGATGTTTTAATTAGAATGGAAACATGCAAAGTTAAAATTGTTTATAAAGGATCAACTAGGGTACAATGATGATCTCATGATTTCTTAAAAACACTGAATAATTTAAAATTTACGTATTTAATATTAATGCCACAAACAATGCCATTGTGATAATAATATTTATTTGTGTCACACTACATAGTCACAGTTTGCTGAAAGACCTGGGGTAGCAGGGAGTAGGAAAATAGACAAGGCCTTTTGTTGTTTTATAGTCAGACAGAGCTGGATTTAAAATCCAGTTGCACCATTAATTATATAACCGCTATGAGACCTGATTTCTTCATTTGGACAATGAGAATGGTAATAATCTGTCTTACAGGATTGTTGGAGAGATTAAATATGCTCCTATATTTAAAGCACATAGAAGGAACCCAAATAATGTTTAATTAACATAAAAAGCACATAGAAGGAACCCAAATAGCATTTAATAAAAATAACATGAAATTTACAGAGTAAATTTTCAGTAAATATTAACTGCTATTTCTCTCAAAATATTTGAAGGTCATCATGAAAAATAGTGGGTAAATTTGTAGACTCAATTTATGTTACTCTAGTTAAAAGTTAGGATAAAATCAAAACTAGTTGATCAAAATTCTGTGAGTAGAGAGAGATTTTTAGCTCAGTATGTGGATGAAAATCAGACAGCATTTTCTGCAATTTTAATGACCTGCCAAATGAAGTAATGCATTTCTGTTATGGCAGTTATTCTATATAACTGAAAAATCACATTTTAAAAATGTTTTAAAGAAGATTTAAGCAACGTAATTTCAAGTTTATTGTTCTTTTTCCCAACTTGGACATTATGTGATTTTATGCTCTTTAAGTTACGTTATTCCACAAATTTTTCACTTTAAATAGAGCCAAGACACAGAAACACCAGGTTTCTCCTTGCTATTTGATGCTGTACTTAACATAAGAAAATAGAGCCAGTTTTCTGGTAAATTTTATCGATAAAGATAGCCAATCTAGTTAACTCCTTAAGACACTACTTTAAGATTTCATTTCTTTATTCTGCATTACTAACAAAACTGCCCCTGTCACTAGAGGTAGTGTAGATAAAATTCAACTATTTTCCAAGACTGCTGATTCATAGTTCAGAAATGTAACATTGAATGTGCTTTCAAAGTCGCTTTAAATATTTTATCACATCTTAAGACAATGAAATGTTTGTATGAGTACTTTTAGTATTATAGGGCCAATTTTTGTGTTTTTAAGAGCTCGTGTTTTATATATATATATATATATTTTTAAATTTTTTATTGGATTTTAGGTTTTGGGGTACATGAGCAGAGCATGCAAGACAGTTGCGTGGGTACGCACATGGCAGTGTGCTTTGCTTTGCTTCTGCCCTTCCCCACATTTGGCATTTCTCCCCAGGCTATCCCTCCCCACTGCCCCCTCCCACTGGCCCTCCCCTTTTCCCCCCAATAGACCCCAGTGTTTAGTACTCCCCTTTCTGTGTCCATGTGTTCTCATTTTTCATCACCCGCCTATGAGTGAGAATATGCGGTGTTTCATTTTCTGTTCTTGTGTCAGTTTGCTGAGGATGACGTTCTCCAGATTCATCCATGTCCCTACAAACGACACAAACTCATCATTTCTGATTGCTGCATAATATTCCATGGTGTATATGTGCCACATTTTCCCAATCCAGTCTATCACCGATGGGCATTTGGGTTGATTCCAGGTCTTTGCTATTGTAAACAGTGCTGCAATGAACATTCGTGTACATGTGTCCTTATAGTAGAACGATTTATAGTCTTTTGGATATATACCCAGTAATGGGATTGCTGGGTCAAATGGAATTTCTATTTCTAAGGCCTTGAGGAATCGCCACACTGTCTTCCACAATGGTTGAACTAATTTACACTCCCACCAACAGTGTAAAAGTGTTCCTTTTTCTCCACATCCTCTCCAGCATCTGTTGTCTCCAGATTTTTTAATGATCACCATTCTAACTGGCGTGAGATGGTATCTCAATGTGGTTTTGATTTGCATCTCTCTGATGACCAGTGACGATGAGCATTTTTTCATATGATTGTTGGCCTCATATATGTCTTCTTTCGTAAAGTGTCTCGTGTTTTATATTTAAGGTGAAACATGATATTTGTTTAGTTGGGATGCCAGTATCCCTGTTTGTCACCTTTGGTATGAGAAACTGGGATAGAAAGATTCAAGAACTACACTTCAGTTATTTTTAGAAAAGATTAACTGCAGAAGCAGATGAAGGGGAAGTGAGAAAATCTGGTTATAGCCATTACATTCTGGTCTTTTTAGCAAGAAAAAAAATATTCTGGTTGACATATTTTCTGATTATCATTAAATATAATTGTTTTGTACATAAGATTATATCAGTCTACAGTAGGGCTTTGTGTATATAGTATTAGAATAATTGTATGTATTAACTTCCTCAGAAAGTGCTCATGGTAGTAGAGTCAGTAATGGCTGTGATAGGAGAGCCATCCTGAGAAATTAGGTATATGGCAATTTGACAGCTTCTAATTTTTTAGTTACTGCTTTAAAGTTAATATAGATGACCTTAGTAGGCTCCTAAACATGTATACAATATCAGTTAGAAGAAGACTACTTGGTATTGTTATAGTAAGTATGTGATTTTTATGTGATTTATTTCTTGGGTTTTGCTGTTTTATGGCTTTCTTAAAAAGTAATTCATATCCACATAGCGTAGACTATAATTTATAGATGAATGTGAAAGAAAATTGATATTAAAAGATTTTTAAAATACCAACAGTTGCCTTAAGTTGAATTTAGATTGAAAAGGTATTCGGAAACATCATGAGTTATGTTTCAAATCATGATTTATGATTTATGTTTTAAAGTAAAACCTTCTAGTGGAAATAATTTGCTAGTTTTTTATGTTGTCACTTTGATTTTGGTGTTTATACAGATGTTATTTGTAATATAAAAGTGAGAAAGTATTTTTATCTTGTTTGCTAGTGTATTTAGTAAATGGCCGGATTAATAGCTACTATATCTTTAATCTCTAATTCATTTTTGCTTAACAAAGAAATATCTATTTGATGAGGAAATGTTTTTCCTAAACTGATGTCTTCTAAAAGACATACAATAATATAACTATTTTTATTTTAAGTTCTTAGGACCTTTAAATGATGATTTATATGCAGAAGATTTTTACTTGTTGGAGAAGATAACATTTAGTAATTCAGTAGAGAAAATTAAAGGCATTGTTGAAAATATGGGAATCAACTCAAATAGGTAAGTATGTAAGTCCTAAGAGCAGTTGATTTTGGGCTTGATATTCTGAGTCTCATGTTTTTGTTTTAAGATTAGAAAATGTTTCAAATGTATAGACAAGTAAAGGAATAATAAAAGGCATATATAAAAACTATAAGGAAATAATAAAAGACATCCATTTACTCCATCACTAAACTGTAGATGTGAATGTCTTCTTTGCGTTGGGTCTTTCTCCTTGTTTCTCATCCATCCACCCCAGTCTCCTCCCTCGCCAAGAGGTAACCATTTTCCTAAAGGTTGTATGCATGGTTCCCATATTTGTGTTTATACTTTTGATTCCTATGTAATTATCCATTATTGGTGTTTGTGTTGAAGGCTGTGACTTTCTTAGAGAAATGCTGATATCCTGTGGGTCTCCCTTTGCAGTTTACTTCTGTAGATTTAACCATGTTCAAATATATAAAGCCTTTCTTGAAGCATTAATTATAACATGAAATATGGAACTTTCTCTTTCCAAAAAACTCATACACTGTTTGTCTTATCTAGCATGAGTGACCTCATTATGAAAGTTGATGCTCTTACGTCCTTTTTGCCTAAGGATGCATCTCGATATGATGTCACATTTCTTAAGGAGAATCACAGGTAAGAATGTAATCATATCTGTGTTTTTTTCTGTTAATGCATGCAATTATCATTTCCATTTGTTTTCATAACATGGTAAAATTTAAGGTAGAATTAAAAGTTATTTATTAGGGAATAAATGTATTTGACAGTATGAGGAAGATAAATTCCAATTTGTTATATATTCTGGTAAATAAAGGGTAATGTATATATAGAGTGAGGATATGAAATTTCAAGTTATACATAGTATAATTTGTCATATTTTTAATATCTTTCATGCTGAAGATCATTTGTAATTTTTACAGTATCTCAAGATAATCATGAATAAAATTTATATTTTCTATATGTAAAGTGACTAAAGAGTTCTGATTAATCAAATCTAGGGTGGCCTCTGTCACACAGCTAAACACACATGCATGAGCAAGAGTCAGAAGGATGAAGGGAGGATCCAGGGAAAGCTGAACAGTTGTAGGCCCAGCTGCTGCCTCGGGCCAGGAAGGTGAATGAGCAGATCAGCAGTAAGTGTGTGAGCTGCAAAATTGCTGCTGCCACCTCTCAGTCCTCTACATCTCCTGAGAATCTCTGTTGTGGCCTACCCAAGCCAGAAACATTCTGGGAAATATGGTTTAGCCTGGTCAAGTTAACACATTCTAAAGCTGCTGCGTGGACCACAGGTCCAAGGATTTACTCTATCAGGCTAGTGGTAGGATGGAAATAAAGGCTGTTTAGTCATTATCACATGTTTGATTCCTCAATGATTTCTACACCCATATTCTCTATGAGAGGACCTCGTTAATTATAAAAGTAGCTAAACTGCTTTTTAAAAATACTACTACTGAAGGTTCCCTGAGCTCAGTCAAGTGCCTTACAATTATCACCTTTAGTAATTTTCTCTAGAAATATCATTTTTTATCTGTCAAAGAACATTCTTTCCTATCAAGGGAAATAATAAGATATAAATACAGTTAAATTTACATGTAAATTTCTACATTAAAGTCACACACTGTTATTGAATTTTAGAAAATGTCAGTGAACCTTTGGAAATTGATATATCTTATATAGTATGCCACAGTAATGGCCAAATACTTCAGATCACTTTACATTTTAATTTATGAATTATCAATATTATTTCTATAGTTATATCTGTGTATTATTTTCTGAGCATATGCATATACTTTTATAATCACATAAAAATATTCACAGCTTTTTAGAGAGATAGATGTGTGTGTGTGTGTGTGTGTGTGTATTTAAACACAGTATTATATCTTTGCCATTCTGCTTCTATATCTATAGGGAGTCATTTTATAATTAAAGAAATGTGTTAAAACACTTGTTATAAATCTATTACTGCTGTATGCATATATTGATCTTAATTCCAACTTAAAACATTTGAATTGGTGTATAAGAAAATTTAAATTTGACAGGTAACTTAAATTAGAAGTTTGCAAAAGAGGAAAGAAAAGAGTAGGAGTAAATTGGAATCTGGAATAAAGTAAAAAATGAGAAAAAAGCAATTTTTTCCCAGCCCTGAAAGATCTCTGTATTAGGCTATTCCCTTCCATCTAGACTCTGTGGAGTTGACATTCTTCTAACATCTTAGATAAAGGCAAAAAATAGCAATTCTAACTGCTCACCCCACGATCCCAGGAACTTGCAACGTTAAATGTAAGTTGTGCCAGAGACTATGAGGTCTTGAAGGAAGCCTTGCAGGCTGTGGCAGTAATGACCCTCCTGCCTGCCGTGAGCATACCATGAATTTAGCTCTACGTTTTCCAGTTTATACAGTTCCCAAGTTCATGAAAGGAAAACAGACTGGGTGTTCAGGTGAAATGTAAGTATTCTTAGAAGAGGAAAGACAGAGGAATTTCTCCCAGGAGCCTTCATAAAGAGGATACTGTGCAACGAACAGTGTTTTCGTGTTCTTAATATAGATGACTTGACCTATTTTATAGGTAGGTTAATATTATCATAACAAAATTCAACTCAGAGTTTTCTATTGCAGCAGCCTGTTTGAAATTTGTTTAGTATATCTGTAATAGTTGCTTAACTGTGTATACCTAAGCAGTTCTTCACCCTTTTATTGTCTGACGTGGGCTTTAACAATTGATTGTCAGTGTGCTTGACAGTATTCCTCCTGGCTAATAACATGAAGTTTATCAATAGTTTTTTGGCAATTGAGTACAAATCTGTTACCTTAAATAGGTGGTACTTAGCATCTTCTTGTTAATACTGCATGAGGAAAAGGATGTTCTGTTCCATTCTTGGGTTAGTCAGTGTAATACCTACTAGTGGGCTCAGGTAACTGTCTTGTACATGTATAATCAGGTGTGGGGATTATGGAATTCTGCTTCATACAACTTCATAGAATTAGAATAGTCTGGGAGAAGAAAGCAACAGTAAACAGGTGCATACTGAAGCCATAATAACATCTCATGAAGCATACATAAAATGACCAGTTTCGAGTGGTGTCACAAAGTAGAATAGTAATTTGTAAAATTTTCACCAAGGTAACTAAAGGAAGCAACAGTTGTCAAGAGTCACTTTAATGGTAGACTGTCTGATTTGTGGCTCTTACATCTAGCAATAATTATTCATTAAGGTCTGCTGTCTGACTCTGCCCCTCTTAACATAATTAGATCATGTCAATTGCATGGAAAATAAAATGTCTTGCAGTTTTCTATTCCCATGACCCATATTTAAAGTAAACGTTTATATTAGCTTTTTTAAATTGCTGAGCAATTAATCCCCTCACTGCAGAAAGCCTTTCCCTACGAAGGAAACTAATATTCCTGTAACTACATGTGTACCTCTTGATTTGGTAATCTTTTTTCTTTGTAATATGTAAAATGTATAATTAATTCATCCTGCATCTGAGAAAAATATTTCCTATATGATTATAGTGTTAAAACAGTAATTCAGTAGAATATTCTTTGCTTTTAATCAAATATATACTCTTATCTTTTAGTTAAATGTAGAACTGACTCTCTCCCTCTGGCCTATTCTGTACTTTTAATCATTTTCTCATTTCCCTTTAAAAAATTAGTTCATCTTCTAATTTAGAACTTTTGTCAGTGAAAGACAAAAACAGATAGGACAGAGGGAAGGAGGAGAGGAAGACTGGGATTGAAATAAAGTATGATTAATTTAGGTATTTTTGTTCCCTAACTTCCCTGTTATAGCATATTGATTCCTTTGAAATACTAAATTTAATGAACTATGAAAAATTAATTTTATTATTCTCAAATCTGAAGAAATATGTTCCACTAGTACAAAAGCATCTTAGCTTTACTTTTCAAATTGTACAATCCATGAGAATTTTGAGGGCCTAAAATTATCAGAGCTTTTACACTAATGGGATCATTCCTTGAAAAGGTTTTTTAAAAAAAATCACTTCATTCATAAAACCTTACTTCATTTTCTCAAATTCCTTTTAGTTTTGTAATTTGTCAAAAACAGCTTTTCAGATTCGCAAAGATTGTGTGAAATAACCAGTATTTTAAAAATTTAGTGAGAAAGAAAACAATTTATAAGAATTATATAGCTAAGATCATGATTAATTAGTTATTCGTATAAACTTAACTCATTATCTTTAATCTTATTTTCTATTTTCTTAGTGTTATAAAGATGAATCCTCAAGAGAATGATACATTCTTCGATGTCATTGCTATTGTTGATCCATTGACAAGAGAAGCACAGAAAATGGCACAGTTATTGATTGTAAGATAATATAAATTAGACTAAATATTTTTTGTTTTTAAATTTATAATTTTTTCAAGTCTGTTTTCAAGTATAATCAGCTATTTATGCTCTTGATTCTTTACTTCACCATTTTAATAGATTGTCATATTTCAATGTAGAAAATGAAATGATGGAGCTGTGCACAGGGTGTTATGACTATGTTGAGGTTAGGTGTTACTGTGAGCTGAATTGTTTTCCCCACAAAGTTCATATTTCAACATACGAAATAGGTTTCAGTGAACTTTAAGCCCTAACCCTCAATGTAACTCTATCTGGAGATAGGGCTTTAAGGAGGTTATTAAGGTTAAATGAGATCATAAGGGTTGGTGGCCTTAGAAGAAGATGAAGAGAGGGAGACTGTACAAAGAAGAGGTTATTTGAGCACACCGTGACATGTTAGCCACCTACAAACCGGAAAGAGTGCTCTCCCCAGAAACCAAATCAGCTGGCATCTTCATTTTGGAATTCCCATCCTCCAGAACTGTGAGAAAATAAATTTCTATTGTTCAAACCACTCTGTCTGTGGTATTTTCTTATGTCAACCTGAGAAGACTAATACAGGTGTCTTTCATGTGTCGTGATGTGGCTTTTGGAGAAGCTTAAGCTTAATTGATTAAAACTTAAAGTGTAGTAAGTAATGTTAGCCAAACAAGTGAAGCTAAGGAAAGCAGAAACATGGAGTTTGTATTCCGTAGGTTTGGTCACTGTAACAAAGCCCAAAATAACTTTCAAGACTGAAGTTTCTTTCTTTCATCTCCCCGTCTAAGTGTAAGCTGCCTGTGGTTGCTAAGGCAGCTACACAGAGTGAGGGACTCAGGCACTGCCTATGTAGTTGTTGAGCCACCACAAAGCACCTAAGATCACTAGTCAGGCCCTAATATCATCTCTATACTTCTGCCAGCAGGAAAGGGAGAATAAGAGCCCAACCCCAAAGTCAGATGTATGCTGGCCTATCTCTTCTCACAGAAGGGAATGTCTGCAGGCTGGCTATTCTGAATGACAAGGGAGGCTGGAAACTATGGCCACAAGTCCTGCATAAACCTGGAAATTCTTTCCCTATGAGAGAAGAAAATGAATTTGAAGAGACAGTTATCAGTCTCCAGAAGGACTTACGTGGCTTACTGTTTTGCTGAGAATTTCAAAGTTTCAAATTGTAATGCAGCCTACAGTAGTTAAATTTGAATAAGCTGGTTCCATTAGAAGGCTGTATGTTTTTCTAGTGATAATGAAAATTTTACAAAATATTTGTCCTTTGGTAGTTGACTTCACTTTTGAAAACAGGCAAAAGTAATTAGATATTGAGTCTGGTGAAAATGTAAGTGATCAAGCCAAGTGATTCTGCTGTATATCGAAATTTCAAAAGGCAAATTTTTTTAGAATTTAGTGCGTGCTACCAAATCACATTAGAAAATGAGATTTTATTAATGGAGACAAATAATTTTGGAAAGACTTTATCATTCTAACTGTTCAGTTTATGATATGAGTAGGACAAACTTAATCCCATAGCTGATTTACCCAGTTGTTCTTTTAGCATTTGTTATACCTTCAAATTTATATGTCTTGAGATATGATATTCAGATTATTCTTTAGAAATCGATCCCATCTGGAAGGGGTGAAGCTAGTATGCTTTTTAGTGTGCAAATTCCCTATTCCTGTAAAGAGTCATTGTTCACAAAAAACATATTACTTAAATTTGAAAGTTTTGTATATAAAAGTAGAATTTAGAAATAAGAAATATGTAATCAGTCACCCCCAAACAGGTCCTAGTGTGTGATGTTACCCTCCCTGTGTCCATGTGTTCTTAGTGTTCAACTCCCACTTATGAGTGAGAACATGTGGTGTTTGGAGGGATAGCATTAGAAGAAATACCTAATGTAGATGATGAGTTGATGGGTGCAGCAAACCACCATGGCATGTGTATACCTATGTAACAAACCTGTCTGTTCTGCACATGTACCCTAGAACTTAAAGTATGATTTTAAAAATTAAAAAAAACACTGTCTCACTCTGTTGCCCAGGCTAGCATGCAGTGGCACAATCATAATCATAGCTCACTGCAGCCTGAAACTCCTGAGCCCAGTGAGCCACCTGCTTCAGCCTCCTGAGTAGTTGAGATTCCAGGAGCAAGCCACTGTACCTGGCGAGGAAGAACTTTTTTAGGATGGGAAGTATTTGAGCAGGTTTTGATACAGGAAAAGGAATGCAGATACACTAAGGGAAAGGGAGATAAGAGTTGGAGGCCAACTCGGGAGGAGGTGGGGAGCAGGGAGTGGGACCAGTGGAGGGCTCTCTTGGAGGAGGGATGGGGGGACTTGGACAGGAGAACAGAGGCCCATCCTCTATCCTCTGCTTCCTTCTGAAAAGGCTGCAGAACAGCCTAAAGCCAGGGAGTGGGTCAGAAAGGGTAGTGTCTCTCTGCAAGGACCAGGGCAAGGGTCCAAAACTGAGACACACAGCCCAGCCCAGTCCTGAGTGGTGGCTGGGGGACATGGGGGCCATAAAGAGAGACCCCCATAGTTAGAAGAAAAAAAAAAGAAATATGGAATTGGCCAAAGCAGGAAGATCACTTGAGAAATTCAGCCTGGGCAACATAGCAAGACCTTGTCTCTACAAAAAAAAAAAAAAAAAGGCCAAACGTGGTGTTGCATACCTGTAGTCATGGTTACTACTGAGAAGGCTGAGGCAGGAAAATTGCTTGAGCCCAGGAATTTTAAGTTAACAGTGACCCATGATCACACCACTACACTCTGACCTGGGCAACAGAGCAAGACCATCTGTCTTAAAAAAAAAAAAAAAAAAACAGAATTATACAGCAGTATAAAATATGGAATTGCATTCTGGTTTCCATCATTGGTAATAATCGCACACTTTATTTCTTACTTTATAAAAGGATAATCTATTGGAAGAAATGGGTAGTTTTTTGTTAATACTTGAGAAAAACAGCGGTTCAGTGACCTCCAGAGTAACAAATCTGATGAGTGATACAATAGGAATTGAAACTCAAATCTCCTTAATTCTTACTCTTTATGTTCTAATTGCTCATCAAGCATGTATCCTTTCTGTTACATATATCTGTTTTTTCACTTGTCCTCTTACCTATATCCTTTGTTGTCTAATAGCTTTTGAATCTTCCCTTTCATGTCGCCTGTGTAGAGATGAGCACTATCAAAATTTGTAATTCTTCCTCTATGTCTTATGATCCAGGAAAGTGAAAAGAAAGTATTTGTAGGTAGCCAAGAACTTCTAAGTTCCAAAAGAATCAGGATACTGCCCATGTTGTTATAAGGTCACCACTTTGTATTTGCAGATCAAGATTCTAGTAGTTACTTTCCTTGTTCTTCAATACTAAGGACATTTAGATACTATGAAAAAAGTCATTTTAGGCAAAAGGCAAGCAGCATAACCCTGGGACATTGAAATCAACTGTTTGGATTAAAATCTTGCCTCTGCTGTGAGTTACTGTGTGACTTTGAGCAAATTATTATCTGGGTACCTAAAATGCAAAAGTACTATTTCAGCAGGGCATTGTAAGGATCAAGTGAGATAATGAACATAATGTTTTAATATAGTACCTGATACATAGTAAGTGCATAATAAATATTAGCTATTAATATTATTTAATATCAAATATGGGAATTTCTTTCCAATAGGTACTTCGCAAGATTATCAACATGAAGATAAAGTTGTTCATGAACTGTAGGGGTAAGCTTTCAGAAGCCCCTTTAGAGAGGTGAGTCTGAGTGAACAAAATTTCATTTTGAAAAAATTGTAAATGCTGAGAAGAAAAAAAGAATAATTATTGCTGGACCTATTTTTTTTTCTTCACAAGATGCTTCACAGAAATAAGTCAGAAGGTCAGGCTGTTTCTTAACTTAACTGACATAAAATTGATATTAAAAATTAAAATAACCGTTAACTCAGTAAAGTGACCTAATTACAGAATTTACATGGACTTTTATTTATTCATAGTTATTTTTAGAAATATGATTTAGATGCATACCTTTGATAGCAGAGGTACTGTAGCTACTGGTAGAGCAGAGGACTGTAGCTACTTCCTCAGCAGGAGACATCCTTAGAAATATGATTTAGGAATACCTATTTAGAAATATTTCAATGGGAAATAAGGTAGAATTAAACCATTTTAGTTTAGCAGAATTATCAAAATTATCTTTCATATATCATCACATTTACTATTTGGGGGCATTAGAATACAATTAGTTTAGAATAATTTGCCAGGGATACAAAAAATGTTGTTTATCATTATATACAAATATTCCTCATAATACTGTCCTGTTGAAATAACATTCCCTCTCAAGAGGGAACAAACATATACCCTTTCTTTTCTTTGTGGATCAGAATCACTGTCATTGTGAGCCATTCTTATTGATAGGAATGTTCAATTCTCCTTCATGTGTCACTGGGTAGAAAACAGGGTATGTACCATTGTACTAGTATTGCTTTTTAAAACTTGTTAATGTGCTCGTCGCTAAACAAAAGATATATGCTTACACAAAATAGAAAGGTGGCATTCTGTTAATTCCTTGTTTACTTTTCAAATTGTATTTGTTGACATACTGTAGATTGTTGCCTTGAGCAGAACTTTTTTGTTTTGTTTTGAGACAGGTCTCACTCCCATTGCCCAGGCCAGAGTGCAATGGTGCCATCACGGCTCACTGCAGGCTCGACCTCGGGCTCAGGGATTCTCCCACCTCAGTCTCCTGAGTAGCTGGGACTATAGGTGCATGCGACTACGCACAGTTAATTTTTTGTATTTTTGTAGAGACAGGGTCTTGGCATGTTCTCCAGTCTGGGCTTGAACTCCTGGACTCAAGAAATCCACCTGCCTTCCCCTCCCAAAGTGCTAGGATTGTAGTCATTAGCCACTGTGCCCAGACAGAGCAGACATTTTAAACATAAATATTTTTAATAGCAGGAAAGCAATACAATGGAAAATGTGGAAAATTTAAATGAAAGTTTAGGACTTACTCATTGTCCCTCAAGACTCTTATCCATATATCTCATTCAGTTTTTATGTTTCTCATTTATCTTTTGTGTTTTAAATTTTATCACATGCCTTTTTACATCTGAACAAAACCTTTAAAATTTTTGGCTACTAATTGAAAGGTTTGTTAGTTCCATGAGTACGGAATTTTTATTCACAGGAGTAGGGATCCTCTCCATAGTGTCTCTGTAAAACATTACAATATATAATAAAGAGTGGGATTATTGAACATATACGCAAGCATAATCTACTGGGAGGGAAAGAATTGACTTTTCTAGATGAAATAATGTACTAGATAGAGTATATACAGTTATTATTTTTTAAACTAGTAGTTCAACATAATCTTATTTACTCAGTAGCATGTATCAAAGCAATCGAGCTTACATATTATTCCCAGCCCTTTCCTTTTCGTAAATTATTCTCCTCAGAGATGAGACAGGTTAACAGCAGGAATTCCCTCAACTCCTTACTCTAACTGCTATACTTCCTCAGCCTTGCAAAGAATGGGGGATCCTTCTTCTTTTTATGTGAACATTCCCTGTCTGTTTTGATCCCTTGCTTTCCTGTTCTGGATGCTTGCTATATCACGTATTCTCTCTTTTGGATCTTTAATCTCTGTACTAGCTTTTCTCCTTCAGTCCTTAAAGTTATTCAGTTTTTTAAAAAGTTGCTCCCTTAACTTCCTCTCCTCTAGAGTCCTTTTTCCCCTGTCTTCTTTACTCCTTCTCATCTAAATATCTTCAAAGAGTGGTCAGACTCCATATTATCTCACATTCACTTACCTTCCACTGCAGTTTGTCTTTAATTTCCTCTTTGCTATTGAAAAATTGTATTTACTAAATCATAAAGAAATTGCTACTTTCAACATTCACAGAGTACTTTTTCTTTGATATTTCCATTTCAGCAAGAACTTGTTTTGTACATTTACTTCATGACTGTGTTCTCTCCAGTTTCTCCTCTTTTTATTTTCTTTGCCTACCTGTGTAACATGACTCCCAGTGATCACGACCCCCTAGTACTTATACTCTAAGTTCTCCTGGAGCGAGGGCTGGACCTAGTGATTTGCCTCTCATAAAACAAAGTGATGGAATTTTCCTTCTGCAATTAGGTTATGAAAGACTGTGAACTATGACTTTTGTCTTGCTGACATTCTCTCTCTATCTGGCTCTTCTCTGTGCTTCTCTTTTGAAGCATGTTGGAGATGCCCTTTTGGGAAGTAACTGAGAGCAGTTTGCAGGCAACTACTAGCAAGGACCTATGGCCCTCATTCAGACAGCCCTTAAGGAACTAGATGAAACTGGAAGTAGATCCTACCCCTTGTTGAACCTTGAGAGAACTACAGCACAGCTGACACCTTGACTGCAGTCTCAACTAGCCTTGATAGCATAACGTAATAATTCTGATGCACAATATTGAAGGATGAAGTTAAAATACAGCAAAACTGAAGTCTAAAAGTGCTTTTAAGCAGTTGCTTTCAGCTTAATCCTGTTTGGTTTTAGTTGAGCTTTTAAAAGTGGTACTAGAATTTCAGCTTGAATTTTACTTGTTTCTTAAAAGTTAATAAAATAGCTGAAAAATAGACCATGGTCAGATTTGAAGGAGGATGCGTACAAATCATAATACAATAACAGACCATAAACTACTAGAACCTGCATTAGTCAGGTATATCTTAAAGGGATGCTAATTATGCTTATTAAGGAATAACAATGGAATTATAAGTTAACAATGGTAGATAATATACATAGCCTTATAACAGATAGTAGTGTCAACAAAATAATGATCATCTATTTCTTATAAGCACTAACTCTTCTGCAGTATAGTGTGTTTTAGTCTTTTTGATTGAAGACTTCTGGTCAGATCATTAAGCCATTTTCAATTTTAAAACATTTTAGAAGAAAAATCTCAGTTTGGGTCACAGTATATCTTTTTATGTTTTATTAACAGCTTTTACCGATTTGTTCTGGAACCAGAACTGATGTCAGAGGCTAATGACATTTCTTCTCTTGGGCCAGTGGCAAAATTCCTGGATATTCCTGAATCACCCCTCCTAACCCTCAACATGATTACTCCAGAAGGCTGGTTGGTTGAAACAGTACACAGCAACTGTGACCTTGATAATATTCACTTAAAGGATGTAAGTTATGTATAGTCACATAAAAATAGAGAAACAGAATAAATTCTTATCAGCTATTACAGTTGTAGCAAGTGAGCAGTCATACTATAGATGCTTACTAGAATCTTCTTTTTTATAATTCTAGGTCCTGATGCAATCTTTCCTCTGATTTTTAAGTTTTTCTAATTTCCAAATTCCTAGATGTCTTTACCTTTTTTTCCCCCCTTTGCCTCAGATTTCTAGCTTACAAAGGCAATTCTCTAAGATGAGCAATGTAAACAAATATGGCAAGGGACACTTGGCAACTTAGTACAACACCATTAAGTACCTACTTTGCTCTTCAAGTTTAGTTTTTAAGTCGGAGAGCAAGTTTTATCCAAAACTGTTTCGTTGTTGTTGGGTTGTTGGGTTTTTTTTTTTTTTTTTTTTTTTGGCCTCACAGCACATAGCCAGAGAAAAATAGCCCTAACTAGATTAGGATAGAAAGTAGGAAACAAAATTTGCTGGTATACTGCAAGCCAGGTTACCTGCTTCTCAACCACCCCCCATATAACCCTTGTCTAGTGAGTAGTCAGGCTTCTCTTCCTCAACTATAGCAATTCGCAGCACAAAAAGAGAGTGTTTTAAAATAAACTGAGTCTTTCAAACATTGAATTTAGAATGAGAAAAGGAATTCAGAAACCACAATAAAAAGGGAATCATTTTAGAAGAGTTTACCTAAGATGTGTGTTAGTCCGGTTTCACACTGCTATAAAGTACTAGCTGAGACTGGATAATTTATAAAGAAAAGAGGTTTAGAGAACGATCCAAGATGGCCGATCGATAACAGCTCGGGATTGCAGCTCTCAGTCAAAGTGCAGAGAACTAGAGGACGCCACACTTTCAGACAAATTCTGGTCGCTCACGGAGCAGAAGATCCCCAGTGGAGGAACCACACGGGTCACCAGCGTGACAAGAGTCACCGGCACCTCCGTGCGGCAGCTCTCGGAGCAGAGTAAACAGGGCCGGCTCCCCTTCTGACTGAGGCTTGGAGGACCCACACGGGCGGCCAGCACGACTCTTGTGGCCGGCACAGCGGCTTGCTCGGAGCGGCAGCTCTCGGAGCAGAGTAAACAGGGCCAGCTCCCCTTTTGACCGAGGTTTGGAGGACCCACATGGGTTCCCAGCACGACTCCTGAGACCGGTGCAGTGGCTGTGACGGCACCTTAGCGCGGCAGCTCTCGGCTCAGAGTAAAGGAGACTGGTTCCCCTTCTGACTGAGGTTTGGAGCCCGGGCAACGCAGAGTCGCCCATTACGGACAAAAGAAGGAAGCCAGACAGGAGAATCCTGGGCAGAAAAGCACCATCAGTCTTAACGCCGCAGTTCTGGCCCTGGGAACTAACCACTTGGACGTCCAATCAAGAGACCTAATCTGAAAGTTGGTAATTTCGAAGACGACAGGAGGATAAATTTACAATGATGGGAAGAAACCAGCGTAAAAAGGCTGAGAATACTCAAAATCAGAATGCCTCTCTCTCTAAAGATGATCACAGCTCCACATCAACAATGGAACAAGGCTTGATGGAGAACGAGCGCATCCCAATGACAGAATCACTCTTCAAGGAATGGATAATAAGAAACTTCTGTGAGTTAAAAGAACATGTTGTAGCCCAATGTAAAGAAACTAGGAACTTTGAAAAAAGGTTTGATGCAATCCTACTGAGAATAGACAACTTAGAGAGGAATATAAGCGAATTAATGGAACTGAAGAATACAATACAGGAACTCCAAGAAGTATGCACAAGTTTAAACACTCGAATTGTTCAAGCAGAAGAAAGGATATCAGAGGTCAAAGTCCAACTTAATGAAAGAAAACAAGAAGACAAGATTAGAGAAAAAAGGATAAAAAGGAATGAGCAAAGTCTCCAAGAAATGTGGGACTATGTGAAAAGACTTAATCTACGTTTGATAGGTGTACCTGAATGCGACGGAGAGGATGAATCCAAGCTGGAAAATACCCTTCAGGATATTATTCAGGAAAATTTTCCTGAACTAGCAAAGCAGGTCAATATTCAACCCCATGTAATACAGAGAACACCACAAAGATATTCCTCAAGAAGAGCAATCCCAAGGCACATAATCATTAGATTCACCAGGGTTGAAACGAAGGAGAAAATACTAAGGGCAGCCAGAGAGAAAGGTCAGGTTACCCACAAAGGCAAGCCTATCAGACTTACAGCAGATCTCTCAGCAGAAACTCTACAAGCCAGAAGATAGTGGGGGCCAATATTCAACATCCTCAAAGAACAGAACCTTCAGCCCAGAATTTCATATCCAGATAAACTAAGCTTCACAACTGAAGGAAAAATAAAATCTTTTATGAACAAGCAAGTACTCAGAGATTTTATTACCACCAGGCCAGCTTTACAAGAGCTTCTGAAAGAGGCATTACACACAGAAAGAAACAACCAGTATTAGCCTTACTAAAAATATACCAAAAAGAAAAGAGCACCAACATAAAGAATTTTCATCAATGAATGGATCAAACGGCCAGTTAACATCAAATGGCAGCAACCCTAAATTTAAATCCACTAAATCCCCCAATCAAAAGATACAGCCAAAACCCAACGGCATGTTACATCCAGACCTGTTTCACATGCAAGGATACACAAAGACTCAAAGGAATGGAGAACGATTTATCAACCAAATGGAGAGCATAAATAAATAAAATAAATAAAGAAATAAAAAGGAGTTGCAATTCTCGTAGCATATAAAATAGATTTTAAAGCAACAAAGATATAGTGGTAAAAGGATCAATACAACAACAAGAGCTAACGATCCTAACACCCAGGTATGTAGAGACTTAGATTCAATGAGACAGAAAATTAATAAGGATATCAAGGACTCAAACTCAGATCCGGAACAAGTAAACTTAATAAATATTTATAGAGTTCTCCACTTCAAATACATAAAATATACATTCTTGTCAATACCACATCACACCTACTCAGAGATTTAAATAAAACATTGATTAGCCATTATTAATACCCATTTTTTTTTTCAGAATAAAGCAATATTTCCGTTCACCCTCCCTCTCTCTCTTCTTCTTTCTTTCTCTCCTTTACTCATTTTTTTTTCTTTCCTTCTCTCCAAAAAAGAAATCAACTTGTAAACCTCTAGATCCAGGTCGGCAATGTCTCTCTCATTGCTTGAATTCCTTCCTTCCCTTCCCTCTCTCCCTCCCCCCCTTCCTCCCTTCCTCCTTCTCTCCCTTCCTGCCTTCTTCCCTTTCTCCCCCGCCCCAAAAAAAAGAGGTTTAATTAACTCACAGTTTCACATGGCTAGGCAGGCCTCCAGAAACAATCATGGCATCATGGCAGAAGGGGAAGCAAGGCACATCTTACATGGCAGCAGAAGTGTGAGGGAGTGTCACACACTTTTACACCATCAGACCTCATAAGCACTCACTATCATGAGAACAGCAGGGGGTATCTGCCCCCATGATCCAATCACCTACCACTAGGCCCTCCCCTAACACATGAGGATTACAATTAGACATGAGATTTAGGTAAGTACACAGAGCCGAAACATATCACTTGGTATCCAAAAAATGAGGAAAAAATACTTCCTTCTCCTCATTGTTTGCCCTCTGACCTTTTTCCAGCTCTGGGTATCTGATACCTCCTGTAGAATATAATCATTGCTTTGACTAAAGTATTAACATTTACTTGTAATAATTTGGTTAAGATTGTTTATTATGTTTGTTTCTCATGCGTCTTATGCATTACCTTTTGCCTAAAGATTTTCCTTCTAGGAAAGTTTATTTTGATCCACTCATGTGGATTCTGTGGGATCCTGAATAACTCTTCTGTAACATACTCCCCATCACTCACAACTGGACCCACCTAAAAAAGAATCTAAAACTCAGTCATAGCCATCATCTTATGTCATCCTTTAAATCTAGAGAAAAGGCAGCAAACTAATAGCATTAATCAGAAAAATTAACAAATGAATGTTACAAGAAGTGGGAATAAAATTACTATTTTTTTCCATGATCAGTGAGATCTCTTAACAGAGTCTAGAATTCTTCATGAAAAGAATGTACCAATATACTCAATAATTTAACTTTTAAACACCTTATCCAAAAGTGTGAAGTGTTTGTAGTAGGAGAAATTAGTACAACTTAGAAAAGATTTGAAATCAGTCTGCTTGTGCAAATTTCAGCAGCTATTCAAAAGCTGATGGAGATTAAAACTTTTTTGTGGTGAGTGTCAAATCTAATAGCGTCTTTTTAGAAGCTGTTCGGATGAGCACTAGCTCTAACTCTGAAGTTAGAAGACTAAGATGAAGGAAAATTTTGTGTGTCTTCATAATTTAGGTGAATAAACAGAAGGAGATTATAAATTCTAGCATCTGCAAAAGTTAACCACTCCTCAGGCTCATCTTTTTCATTGTGTGCTCTACATTCTTATAATATTCTGCAACCACCCTGGAAAAATAACAAAGGCATTTGCTACAGTAGAAAAGATTCTTAGGTAAAGGGGAAAAGTATGTACATCCTGGCAAAAATGAGACTAATAATGAGAGATTTACCATCATACACTAACCTGTGCAAACATTCATGGGTAAACCTAATTCCCAAACACTATCCAAATACCTGGAAGAAACGTGATCTGGAAAAATTCCCCCTTAGCAGGACCTTGTTCACATGATTGTCCATACAATGACTTTACTGCACAACCAGCATTAATTTCATAATTAAAAGTGACAAAAGGGATTAAGAAATAAAAGTGAGATAGTTACTTTTACCTGAAGTTCAGATAATGCTCTTCTCAGCACTTACTGTTAGAGCTGCATCCAAAGACTCTCTAATTATATTTTATCACAGCATATATCTGAAAGATATCAAAATACCTAGAACAACAATAGTGGTTGACCAAGGAACGAAAAAGTGCAATAGATAAAAGATTGCTAACGGGAAATAGGATGTGGCTATGTTAAAAAGAATGCACAGAAAAATGCATCAACCCTTCTGAAATAAATAATTTTGATATTACTTTTATTGATATTTATTGATATATTCATTACCAATCTAATTGTGAAAGAATTTATTTTCAGAGATATGGTATAGATCCTAAATAATACTATATTATGAATTTGATGAACACACAGTTCATCTTAGGCTCAGTTTAGTCTCTCAGTACATAACATATGAATTTTCTATCTCAAACCATCAAATACTTATAAAATTTGGGGAAAGTTCACATTTGTAGTGAAGAGTTCTGTTCCCTCTATAAAACTTAGCAATTTAAAACAAACCTTAACAAACTAGGAAATTTGTATATCAGAAGACTTGTACTATAGAAGTCTCTTTATTCACAAGGAAATGTTCTGAGATAGCCCCTATCCAATCAGTGGATACCTGAAACCATACATAGTACCTAACCTTATATACACTGTTTTGTTTTTTCATATACATACCTGCCTATGATAAGATTTAATTCATAAATTGGCCACAGTAGAAATTAACCTTAGTAACTAATAATAAATAGAACAATTATAAAAGTAGGTCATCATCCTCTACTCTTGTGCTTTTGGGTCACTAAGTGAAATAAGAGTTCCTTGAATACAAGCACTATCATGCAAGATTGTATTACGATACTCAGAACAGTGCACAGTTTAAAATGTATGGATTGTTTATTTCTGAAATTTTTCACTTAATATTTTTGGATCATGGTTAACTGAGGGTAACTGAAACTGCACAAAGAAAAAAGCACAGATAAAGGGAGACTACCATACCTTATATGCCTCAAACCACCTAATCATCTAAAACTAATTCCTTACTTTCACTTTTCCTTGGATTTTTGCCGATTCAGAGTCCTGAATAGTTTCTCAAAGTTCAGATTGCACTAAAGTCATTAAGTTCAGCCTTCACATGCCTTAAGATGCAAGAAAAGATGTACTATCATTTATCCATCTCCACTATCAGGTAGCTTTCAGAGTTCAGATCACAGATCAAGATACGTATTATAACTTTGCTAATAATAACTTGGGAAAATGTGTCTGCAGTTGCACAAAATCATGTTCAAGAGTAACAAAAATACTAAACATATTTACAGATAGTTGTTAACAAACTCAAATGCTAATCTTTATAATTAAACCTAACCTTTTTTTAAAGGAAGACACTTAGCTATTCACCACAGAAGAACAATACAATTAATATCCTTTTAGAAAAATTAGTATGTTCTCAAAGTTACATTTGAAAGGTATTAAATTTATATCTGGTATAAACAATATTTAGAACAGAAAATAAAAATACAAAGGGAAAATGAAAACATAAGGATCAAAAAAGATCACTGACTCATATTTTTGCTAAAAATGAGCTTTTTAGGTTGGCATGGTGGCTCATGCCTATAATCTCAACACTTTGGGAGGCCGAGGCACACAGATCACTTGAGGTCAGGAGTTCGAGACCAGCCTGGCCAACATGGTGAAACTCCGTCTCTACTAAAAATACAAAAAAAATTATCTGGGAGTGTTGATCTGTGCCTGTAATCCCAGACACTCGGGAGGCTGAGGTGGGAGAATTACTTTTTGTTCTTAAAAGCAGTAAAATAAGAATAGAAATCAAGAAAGATATTCTGTAAACAAATATTGTAATTATTTCTGAGACAATTACAGTCAAGGAAAAACAATTATACAATACAGAATATATCCAAATACTCTATATTCTAAGCACACTAAACAATAGTGTTGAAAACCTAATATGGTGAAATAAGATTAGATATATGTAACATCACTGATTTTAGTTAACTCAACAGAATTTTCAAACTGTAACAGTCACTGTTTGACTTATTCTCATGTTTGGTTACGTTATTCATATGAAGAAGAGAAAAAGCTTTATCTTGAAAAATTCTTTAATAACATTTGCAGTAGAGAAAAATCCAGAAACAACTGGAATGTTCAGCCATTTAAAAAGATGTTTATAGAGACAGGGACATGTTCTTAGAAAACCATGTTTAATAAAAAAGCAGATTACTTTCTTACCAAAAAATGTATGAAGACAAGAAATAGAAATCAGTGTGTTGACATTTATTCTGTGTTTTCTGTTTTTTCTTCTTTCCACTTGGGAAATGGAATATTATATTGATTTTTTAAATTAACTTTAAAAATGAATTGCATTGATCAATTTATAATTTGTTGATTATAGACATTAAAGTTTTTTAATTACAAGAAGGCCAATAGATAGTAAGTTAGCTTTCTTGCCAAGTCTAAAGTGGGAGCTTCAGGACAACAGCGAACTGAAGCAGATTCTTTAAGTAATTTCCCATCTAAATCTCATGTTCATGTCTTTCCTGCTTGGTTATATTGGTGCATGTATCGTGAGGTTCAGGTAAAGCTGATGTCATGAAAAAGAAAATGTTTATCATAAGGTTTTTGTCTTGAAGAAATCAATTCAACTCATAAATTCCCTCATGTGTAAAAGAAGGACTTGAAGTTACCCACTGAAATACATTGCCAGTATTAAAAAATCACATGTATTTATTTCACAATGTTGTATTATGAGTTTTACTAACACCAAAACAATGACACACTTTCTCCACAGACCGAGAAAACTGTTACTGCAGAATATGAACTAGAATACTTAGTACTTGAAGGACATTGCTTTGATGAAATAACAGAACAGCCTCCTCAGGGTCTGCAGTTTACACTAGGCACAAAAAATAAACCTGTTGTGGTTGATACAATAGTGATGGCCAATCTTGTAAGTAGTATTTAATTGATGATATTTAATTTGATGTTGTGGTAAAATTCCGTGTTTTCCTAATAGTAAAATGAAATGATCTTTATTCTACTGTTGCTGGACAGTTTGCAGAAAACAAAATTGCATCTTTGAAGAAGATAAATAAAAATAGGGAAAATCATAGTTTCATAATATTATTTTAACAGGTTATTGTAAAATCTCTTTACTTGAAATTTATTTATAGAATTTATTCATTCTACAATTAATACTTTCTTGGATTATTCATGTATTCATGAACAATTAGATGGTTTTAGTCATATTAATTATTTTTTTTCTCATTTTAAAAGGGATATTTTCAATTAAAAGCAAATCCAGGTGCTTGGATACTGAGGTTATACCCAGGAAAATCTGAAGATATTTATCAAGTAGTTGGGTGAGTTATGTAGACTGCTTTTAAATTTTTAAACATAAATACATTTTAGTGTAATACATCCAAGATCATCAAAACAACAATTAAAATGTTAAGACTGACCTGGCGCAGTGGCTCACGCCTGTAATCTCAACACTTTGGTAAGCCAAGGCAGGCAGATCAGTGGAGGCCAGGAGTTTGAGACCAGCCTGGCCAGCATGGCAAAACCTCGTGTCTACCACAGATACAAAAATTTACTAGGCGTGGTGGCACACACCTATAATTTCGGCTATTTGGAAGGCTGAGGCCCAAGAATTTCTTGAACCCAGGAGGCAGAGGTTGCAGTGAGCAGATTGTACCACTGCACTCCAGCCTGGACCAGAGAGCAAATCTCTGTCTAAGAAAAAAAAAAAAACTGGGTTAGGTCCATCAGCAAGATAGGACATTCCAGTGCTCATACCCATGCAGAAACATCAATTTGAGCAACTATCCACTCCACACGTGAAACTACCTTAATAAAAACAAAGGAACCAGGTGAGCTATTACAACACTGCGGTATAGCACAGAAATAAGAAAGACACATTCAAGAGTGTAGGAAGGATAGTTTTACATTACATGCATCACTCCTCCCTCAACCTGATATAGTACAGCTAGAGAGAGATACCCACTTGGGGGAAGGAGAGGGAAGTGAGCACCAGACTTTGCCTTGGACCCCAAAACCATGTTCACCCAAGTAAAAGGCAATTCCACGTAGGCCCCCACAGCTCCAACTTAATGCTGGTACCAGAAGGCTGAGCTGCCAGATCCTGCAGCCCCAGGCTGTTGCCCAACTCCAGTGGCAGGCCAGCTGCCACAAATTCAGGCTCTTAGACTTTCCCCTATACCAGCATAATTGTTGTATTGATCATTTAATGACAATATATTATACATTATATCTTATATAACAAAACCATTGTCCCTGGGTTATATTCAATTTGGAATTTGTTTTTTGCACAAAAATTTTCCTGGTCATTAGCGAGCCATAGTAGAAAGCAGGGATCATCACACTTCTTTGGTAAGGAGCCAAAAGTATTTAATGTTTGTTTAAGAACACATATGGTCTCTGTCAAAAGTCTTTTTTAACAATCATTTTTAAATGTAAAAATTATCTTTAGCTTAGGACCATTAAAAAAAATAGACCACAAATTTGATTTGGTTCACTGGCCATAGTTTGCCAACTCTTGATAAACTTTTATTTATACCCTTAATAAATATCTCTAGATTGCATTTCTTTCAATACTTAGCATCTTTTGTTATACCACACATTGTGCTCAACAAAGATAATGTAGGAGTAGAGGTTATTGTATCTTTTTTCCCCTTTGTTTTATGCTTTGTCTAGCTTATAGTGTCAGTTAATAAATGTGCTTAATGGTTTATGCACACAGGTATGAAAGGCAGCTGGATGTGTATGTTTACTGTGTGCCTTTCATGGGACACTTCTTTTACCTAGTGGATAATCTAATGCATAGTTGTCTGATCCCAGACCTAGGTTCCCTCACACAGGAAACTTTTTTTATATACTGACAGATGTCCATGTGGCTCTTGTGTGACCCATGTCCAGTTTATGCTTCCTGACTATTGCAGTGACGCAGGGAACCCAACCTTGTGTTCTCCCCAGCATCCTAGAGAAAACCCTATCTGGGGTAGTCCCTGGTTCTTCCAATGGGTGGTACAAATTTCATACACCACCACAATAGGAAATAAGTTCAAAGATCTACTACTTACAAATCCTGGGCAGGGAGGGCACCATCTCTATGTCACATCAGGCAAGAGTGAAGAGGAGTTGGGTAGAGAGAAAGAACACGCATGCAACTAGCAATATATGCAAGGAAATAGATCATGGGTCATTTTTGATCTGTTTGAAAGGAAGCCAGGACAGCAGATGCCCAGTTTGCTAGGCAGAAACGGTGCCTCTAAACTCTTCTCTTTGGCTATCACCCATACCCCTTTGGGTATGATGTTCTAATGCCTCGGCAGCAACCTATGCTACCTTGCTGTGTTATTCTCATTACAAATGCACAGTTTCTACCCTCCCACAACTCATACCAGTAGAAAAGACAGTCAAGAAAATGAGTGACTATTACATGTTCTAAGTGCTATAAAAGAGTGCTGTGATAGTATAGAAAATGAGCAAAGTAGACTGTAACATTTATATTGACCCTTATAAAAGCCGTGGTTTCAAGGCATAATTTTAAGAAGCATTCATGCTTCGTTTCAGCTCTTTAAATTTTGTGCAAACTGTATTGTCAGGAACTTGGCATTTCTGTATTTGCCACTACTGTTTCACCATTGTACTTTGCAAAGGGAAAGCCATTTATGTATTTGAATTCAAATCCCTTCTGTATCACCAACCATCTGTATGATCTTGTGTAAGTTTCTTTGCTCTTTGTAGTCTTTATTTCCTCATTACAAAAGAGAATAATCCTACCTCTGTTGTGGGATTTTGCTAAGGACTCAATGAGAAAATCATCATAGAATGTTGAGTAAATGTTCATATCCTCTCCACTTATTCCTTCTTCTTTACAAATATGATTATACAATAGTACATGTATTATGTAGAACTCAAACTATACATGATTTAGGTTCTATTTTATCTTCTTTACTATTTTTCTATTATACACAGTTCATAAAGATGTTTTAGAAAGAAACTAGTTCTTGATGTTGTATTTGAAGTACCACTAACATATTAGTGAAAATTGTTTTTTCTCATTCACAGACAACTTTCAGCAATAGAAATAACTTATAAATTTGTATTACTTACAAACAATAAAACTATATGCTTAGTCATCATTTAATTCCACATACGATTAATGTCACTAGCTATCCAAGATGGAGAAAAACAAATATTGTTACTATATAATAAAATGTCTTTGAAAGTAAAGTACCAATAATGAAAATGAGGTCAATATAAAATATGAAAAAAATGGATGTTCTGTTTATCCTAATTTACATTTTAATTATAATTGATATTACCTTTATAATTAGAAAAAAATCTTGAAACATGCTAAAAATCTAAGCTAAAATAATATCTATATGAGTTTCTAAGTTCAGATTTTAAAGCCATGACTAAATTATATTCTTTAATTTGGCTTTCCACTTCAGAGTGTGTACTTTCAGTGTCTGTCAATCTTGTTGTAATCTTTAACTGCAGATTATTTGTGTGTACTCAGTGTTGGCTGTTACCTTGAATATAAAAATTATTCTCAAAATTATTCTCTTTTACTTCTTTTTAGTTCTACCAAAATTAGACAAATGCTGCTCAGATTTTCCTTATTAATTGTAGAGAATGTTAAATACTTTATGCACCTTCAATGCCAAATTATTGTGCTAGACTTCTCGCTTTAAATCTTTAGAGAAATTTTTTCTGCCAGAGTAATACTTGTAGTTAATTTTAGTTTGGTACCTTTGAGGCTGAACTGTATCTCCTGTTTTATATAGGAGGAAGGAGATGTCAAACAAGCCTTTCCATTCCTTCTCCGCAGGTACTTGAACTGGTCCACTGTAACTTTGCTTGCTCTGCTGTAGTTAAAACTCACTCTCTGTGGACTCTTATTAAAAGTTCTCTATTGCTGCACCTCACTCTCCTTTAGTTGCCTGGTTCTGTTGGTGCATCTCTATTCCAACTGGCTGCTTCTGACAACATTCCTAATCCCTGAGCCTCCACACCACCAGCCGGTTTTGACTGAGGTCTCCTCATGCCTCCTGGTTGCCGTGTTGGCAGGACACATGACTACCCAGTGGTAACAGCAAAACCAAATGCTGTCCTTCTTGGTTGCATCTGATCTGTGGAAATACTTACACATCAGTTGCCCAACGAACTGTAGTTCAGGCATTTGCAGAGGTAGTAAGCACTCTCCTGAGTCCTCAGTTAAAGCAATAAATCAGTCCTCAAATATTCAGTCCTGCTTCGTGATATACTTTTAAGTTTCCCAGACATGAATCAGATACAAGTCTCTGTGCATCCTGCCTTCAGAATATGTATTGCAAAGTGTTTTCTCCTTAAAGTGTATACCTTATTGAGTTTGGAATGAGAAGGCAATGCTCTTCTCCTTCCTTCCCCACAGGGTACAATGGTGGAGACTCACAATCTGGCAACAGCTCTCTGTAAGGAAACTTTTCTGCCTTCATCTCACATAACCCTTTCTGTGAACATTTTTATATGCTTAATCTCTCTAAGGGGCAATCTGCATATTGTGGGGGGTATTGAGAATGGGTGGCTATTCATACTCACTTCAGTGTCTGGTAGCTATCTTGTTGGTGTTTCAGTGGAAGCATCTAACATACTTTTACCCCTACCCCCAATATTCTGTTTAGTTTTATACTATCATATTGACATTAGTTAAATGTAAATTTTAATGAATTCGCTATTGATCACAGTTTTTTTATGTCTTTTACTTTTCACATTCTTTTTTTGTTTAGATGGTGTCTTAGGGCATTTTTTTGCTGCTGTAACAGAATATCTGTGACTGGGCAATTTATTACAAACAGAAATTTACTGGTTCACAGATCTGGAAGGTTGGAATTCCAAGACTGAGGGGCAGCATCTGACAGAAGTCTTCTTGCTGCATTATCCTGTGGCAGAAAACAGAAGGATAAGTGAGAGCAAAAGAGAGCTAAACTGCCCTTTTATAATAGCACCAGTTCTACACAGTGAGGGTGGAGCCTCATCACCTAATCACCTATTAAGGGACACATCGATCTTTTTTTTTAATATATATATTTTATTGCACTTTAAGTTCTGGGGTACATGTAAAGAACATGCAGGATTGTTGCAGAGGTATCTACATGGCAATGTGGTTTGCTGCCTCCATCCTCTCGTCACTATATCTGGCATTTCTCCCCATGTTATCCCTTCCCAACCTTCCTACCCCCTGCTGTCCCTCCCCTGTCCCACCACAACAGACCCCAGTGTGTGATGCTCCCCTCCCTGTGTCCATGTGTTCTCATTGTTCAACACCCACCTATGAGTGAGAACATGTAGTGTTTGATTTTCTGTTCTTGTGTTAGTTTGCTGAGAATGATGGTTTCCAGATTCATCCATTCCCTACAGAGGACACAAACTCATTGTTTTTTATCTGCATAGTATCCCATGGTGTATATGTGCCACATTTTCCCTGTCCAGTCTATCATCGATAAGCATTTGGGTTGGTTCCAGGTCTTTGCTATTGTAAACAGTGCCACAGTTAACATATGTGTGCATGTGTCTTTATAACAGAACGATTTATAATCCTTTGGATATATGCCCAGTAATGGGATTGCTGGGTCAAATGGAATTTCCGTTTCTAGTTCCTTGGGGAATCGCCACACTGTCTTCCCACTGTCTTCCACAATGATTGAACTAATTTACACTCCCACCAACAGTGTAAAAGTGTTCTAATTTCTCCACATCCTCTCCAGCATCTGTTGTCTCCAGATTTTTTAATGATCGCCATTGTAACTGGCATGAGATGGTATCTCAATGTGGTTTTGATTTGCATTTCTCTAATGACCAGTTATGATGAGCATTTTTTCATATGTTTTTTGGCCTCATTAATGTCTTCTTTTGAAAAGTATCTGTTCATATCCTTTGCCCATTTTTGGATGGGTTTGTTTGTTTGTTTCTTGTAAATCTGTTTTAGTTCTTTGTAGATTCTGGATATTAGCCCTTTGTCAGATGGGTAGATTGCAAAATTTTTTTCCCATTCTGTTGGTTGCTGGTTCACTCTAATGATTGTTTCTTTTGCTGTACAGAAGCTCGGGAGTTTAATGAGATCCCATTTGTCTATTTTGGCTTTTGTTGCCAATGCTTTTGGTGTTTTAGGCATGGAGTCCTTGCCTGTGCCTATGGGACCCATCTCTTAATAACTGTCACAATGGCAATAAAATTTCAACATGAGTTTTGGAGGGGACATTCAAATTGTAGCAAATAGCTGACTTCCCATATTATCAGGGAAGGATTTAACACAAGCAATTGGATGCTTTTACATTATGTTAGGAAGGACTGGAGGAGCAAGCTCTCTAGGAGGGCTGGATCCTAGGAATGCTTGAGAACAAAATCAAGGAACTGAGCAACCAGAAAGAGCTGCTACTTTCCCATCATCAGAAATGAAAGAAAGCTAGAAGCTGCTGCTAGTAACATATCAACTAGCCTTTGGTACCCAGAAAGCTAAGCGATTACACACTGTAACACAGATGTTAGAAAACCTCAATATCTTTATGACTGTGCTTGACAAAAGAAGCTAGGCAAGCATCAGCACATTGCCTCACTCACTTCTAAGTTCCAAGTAACATGCATATGTATCTGTTTAGCAGAATATAATTCTAAACCAAAACCTTAGCTTTGTTGAGTAACAACAACAACAAAAACTGGGTGTAGCTTTCTTACTCATACAGTATATGCTAAAGGTTAGGGTGTTGCCTGCCATATCATAATATACACCACCTATCCGCAAATAATTTTTTTTCAGAGACATTAGTGACGTACCCTCAAATGTTTAAAACTTTGAGGTGGTCCTCAAAGGTTTAAAAATTTCTTTTTCAGTTCTGTATTAATTATAACTTTCCTAAGTATTGAATAACAGCATTATAATTTTATTCAGAATGCTTAAAACAAGGCTTCATCATTGCTTCTTATCATTTGGTGTTTTGGATGAAAAATATAAGGCCAATTTGATTTACATTTCTTCTCTGAAAATATAAATGATTTTTTTTAAGAATTTCAGGAAACACATGTATAAGTCCTTTTTTATTAATTATACTTTCTGACACATAGTGAATTTTTCATTTTGAAGTAAATGGCTTTTACTAAGTTATGGTATTCTCTTGAATCTCATTGAGAATATGAATTATTTAAATGCTTCCCTTTTTTCTGCATTAATTCCTTATCAGTGAAGTCCATTTCCTCCTATTTAGCTTGTTCCCTTCATTTAAGCTGCTCATTTTTCTCATGTATCTAGAGGTTTCAGGTTCTTAGCATTGTTGGTAAAGGTCTGATAGTGCAGTGGTGAAGAGCCAGACTACCTAGGCTCAGTTTGGATCTAGGACAATAATTCTACTCTCCTCAAAGGATGGTTGTATAGATTAAATGAGTGAGCATCTGTGAAGTGCTTTAAAAAGTGCCTCAAATAGAATGAGAGCTTATCACCATCACTACCTCTGCTACCTGATGTGAGTGGAAAGAGATTTGCTTTAGAATTTGTCTGGGTCTAGCTGTAGTGCTGTGCTAGCTGGCTTTATGCTCTGAGTCTCAGTGGACAGTGGATTAAATGGCTAAAGTTGCAATGCCCTTGAGCAGTGTTTTTAAGAAACTTGAAGTTTTTAAGAAATTTGACAATATTTCTACTATACAAGTTGGAGCCCCTTCTTTCTCTTTCTTTTTTCTCTTTCTCTCTTTCTCTCTTTTTTCTATTTTTCTCTCTTTCTTTCTTTTCTACAGGGTCTCTCTTGCCACTGAAGTTTAATGGCACAATCATGGCTCACTGCAGCCTCCATCTGCCAGACTCAAGCAATCCTCCTACCTCAGCCTCCTGTGTAGCTGGAACTACAGGCGCTGTCTACCACACCAAGTTAATTTTTCAAAAAATGTTACAGAGATAAGGTCTCACTGTGTGGCCCAGACTGGTCTCAAACTCCTGGACTCAAGCGATTCTCCCACCCCAGCCTCCAAAAATGCTGGGATTACAGGTGTAAGCTATCACACCTGGCTTTTTTCTGTTTTCTACTGGTGATTGTTGGACAGAGTTCTTCCTGCTACTTTGGTTTGACCCAGGAATTGGGAGTAAGAGAATGTCAAAGATGTGTTAGTCATGATAGTGCTAGACTCCCCAGGTGTTGATTTTGGAAAAACGTTAATAAGTATATATTATATATAACAACTCAAAAGTAGCTACCAATTTGACATCTGCTTCCCCTTCAACAAAATTCAACTTTATTGTAAATATGATAGAATTTTTCAGTCCATAGTAAAAATAGTTTGAAAAAATAATTATTGAGCACAGTTCTCATATTTGTTTAAGCAGTTTTAAAAATTAGAGAAAAATGCGTTATATGTAATACAAAATGGAAACATTCAAGTGATGCAGATGGACACTGTAGACACATTTTCAGTCTTGTGAGTTTAACACATACGTCAGAGTTTGGCATTTGAAAATGGCTGGTGGATATTAAAACGTTGGGTAATGTACAACTCCTTTGATAGAGGAACAACTTACTTTGAAGTCTAAAAATTGTAATTATCATTGTAATATATCAGGGATGTGAAAGATTTTAGTTTTATGATAGCCATGGTACATAACAGCAAAGATAAGCCGTAATTTGAACTTTCTGAGTGATTGGGTAGTATTGAATTTAATGAGTTGCTTTTGTACAATTTTAAATTTGGACTAAGCTAATAATTATTGGATCATTTTGAAAAATCTGGCCTATTGTATCTTAATTGACTATAGAAACAGAAAAACATGATATATGCAGTAGTGATGTTGGACTCATGTTTATTGCAAAATGAGTTCATTCTTTTATTTATGCCATCATAATTGTATGTCTATTCTTGAATTAGTTATGGACACATTTTTCTACTTTCAGGCATGAAGGAACTGAATCTCAAGCCGACCTAGGAGGTGTCATTGTCGTATTAAACAGCTTCAAAAGCAAGATCCTGGAAGTAAAAGTGTGTGAGGCAGAGCTCTTTATAGGCTTGGTTCTTAATATTAAGAATTATCTTCTTTACTTTTTAATTAATTTATTTATTTTAATACTAACTTTACAATTTTACAACCTAAAATGGTATAATTGAACTCCAGCAGTAAAAAAGGAAGAGGATTAAGTTCAAAATGGAAAACAGAACTGGAAGGTAGAAGAATTCTTTTTTTACATTATAACTTAACTTATATTTACACCTTATCTGTAGCCAAATAACGTTACAAATTGTAGTCTAGAGATGAGATCAAGAACAGTCGCTGAAAAATTAGTCCTAAAAGAAAAGCTGATGTTTCTTTTTTTAAAGAGGGAGAGAAAGGGAATTTTTAATGATGGCAGATGCTATTTTTTTGGACCAACCCTCCTGCTTAAAACTAGTTAAAATATGAGATAAAAATTTTTTTAAATCTTAAGAACAATGAGGAACTGATAATAATGAGATAATAAGAATAATAAGGAAACACAAAACCAAACTTAAAGGGAAAATAAGAGCCTAGTGAAATAAGCAAGCACAGAAACTTCTCTTGACCCGAGGAAGCTACTATTGCCCTGGGAACATTTGTTTGTCCTGTCACACTTTACCATTTTATTTAATTTGATGGGTTAGGGGTTGAAAATTAGAACCCAGAACCCACATACAGTATGTACTCTATTAGAAGACTCTCTCTACAATAAACTAGCTATGTTTTCAAGGTAAGGATGAAACATAAAAAAGTATTCCTCATACACACTCTTTTAGACCAAGTTTGAGTCACCTAAGTAGGCCAGGGAATCCTGAATGTTGAATTGGTACTAAAATAGTTCTAGATTGATAGGGTATAGAGGTATCTGGAAGAGACACCCGTAAATCTCTGGAATAAATTACAGTAACCTAACAGTGACAGGAAAAAAGCTGTCCTAAGCTGCAAAATAAAATTTTTCTAGTGTAAAGACCAGCTCATGGTCAAAGTTAACCAAATACGCAAAACCAGCAGAAACAGAAAACACACAGAGACTCAAGATATTAGAATGACTGGAATACCCTCTGAAACAGCTGTACTTTGTTTAAAGAAATTAAAGATGAGTTTAAAAATAAGTGCAGGAAATAAGAAACTATAAAACATGTACATCAGATTTTTTTTAAATTATAACTTTGGAAACTGAGTAATACAATACCAAAATAATAATCCAGTAGATAGCTTTAACATGCCTTCAGAGAAAATTAGCCAGTTAGAATGGCTATCATTAAAAAATCTGGAGACAACAGATGCTGGAGAGGATGTGGAGAGATAGGAACACTTTTACACTGTTGTTGGGAGTGTAAACTAGTTCAACCATTGTGGAAGACAGTGTGGCGATTCCTCAAGGGCCTAGAAATGGAAATTCCATTTGACCCAGCAATCCCATTACTGGGTATATATCCAAAGGATTATAAATCATTCTACTATAAGGACACATGCACACGAATGTTCATTGCAGCACTGTTTACTGTAGCAAAGACCTGGAACCAACCCAAATGCCCATCGATGATAGACTAGACAGGGAAAATGTGGTATATATACACCATTGAATATTATGCAGCCATCAAAAACGATGAGTTCGTGTGCTTTGTAGGGACATGGATGAATCTAGAAACCATCATTCTCAGCAAACTGACACAAGAACAGAAAATCAAACACCGCATATTCTCACTCATAGGTGGGTGTTGAACAATGAGAACACATGGACACAGGGAGGGAGCATCACACACGGGTCTATCGGGGGGGACATAGGGAAGGGACAGTGGGGGGTGGGGAGTTGGGGAGAGATAGCTTGGGGAGAAATGCCAGATATAGGTGATGGGGAGGAAGGCAGCAAATCACACTGCTCTGTGTTTACCTATGCAACTATCTTGCATGTTCTTCATATGTACCCCAAAACCTAAAATGCAATTTAAAAAAACAAATGTTTACAAAAGAAACAATTTTAAAAAAAGAAAAGAAATTACTCACCGTTGTCCCAAGTTTTACCATTTTATATCCCCACCAGCGATTTCTGAGAGTTCCAGTTGTTCCACATTTTCCCTTGCAATTGATTCTTTAACTTTGTCATTCTGATGACAAAGTACAGTGGTGTCTCCTCTGGCTTTAATTTGCATTTCTCTGATGATAAATAATGTTAAGTACTTTTTCATGTGTTTATTTGCCATTCCTATATATTCCTTTATGAAGTTTCTGTTTAATTATTTTTCTGCTTTTTATTAATTTTTTTTATTGTTGAGTTTTAGGAGGTTTTTTTTAAAAAAATATTCTGGTTACACATTACCCCTGCCATCCCTCAAATAAAATATTTTCTCTCATTAAAAAAAAAAAATTAGCGAGTTGGGAGATAGGCCCAAAAAAAGTGTACCAAGTGCAACAGTGACAGGAAAAAAGAAAATATAGCATAGAGTATTAACACACACACACACAGTGTGAAAGTCTAAGATCACTAGGAGTGGATTTAAAACTGGCTCTGCCACTCACTAGCTGTGTGACCTTGGACAGATTACTTAATCTCTTTGTCTCATTTCCTCTTCTGTAAAATGGGGTTAATAATAGAATCTCTTTATTGGACTGTTAGGAAGATAAGATAAAGCACTTTATGAATGTTTGTTGGATAAATAAAATTAGTCTAAATGGAATTTCAGAAGATAAAGAATGGGGTACAAGTAACATTTGAAGCAATAATAGCTAAGAATTTTTATGAATTGGTGAAAGATACCAATTACAAATATTCCACAGCTTATCCATACCTAGGTCTTTCAGTAGTTTTTTTTGTTTTTGTTTTTTGGGTGTTTTTTGAGATGGAGTCTCACTCTGTCTCCAGGCCTGGAGTGCAGTGGCCTGATCTTGGCTAACTGTAACCTCCATCTCCCAAATTCAAGTGATCCTCCTGTTTCAGCTTCCCAGGTAACTGAGACTACAGGCATGTGTTACCATGCCTGGCTAATTTTTGTGTGTGCATGTATTTTTTGTATTTCTAATAGAGGTGGGGTTTTACTGTGTTGGCCAGGCTGGTCTTGAACTCCTGACCTCAAGTGATCCAACCGCCTCAGCCTCTCAAAGTGCTGGGATTACAGATATGAGCCACCATGCCAGCCACCTTCCAGTAACACAGTTTTATCTCCTAACCATCTCTCTCTCTCAGAATTACAGTGAAAAGATAGAAAAACAGAGAGGAGAAAAGATAAGCAACATAGAGGATCAGCCCATGAAATCCAGTAGCCTACTTAGAGGAACTCCAGAAAGTACAGAGAAGATGGAGGAGAGAAAGTGTCTAAAGCTGAGAGAGAAAAATGTTCACGTCAAAAGAGTCCACAAATTACCAAGTAGGATGAATGAAAATGGCCCACATAAGATCCTAATAGCTACTAAGAAGAAAAAGTGGGTCACTGCAATATAATGACCCTTGACACTAGCACCAGAATTTCATTTTCAGAATACTTGGATGTTAACAGCAAAACAAAGGTTTCAGTGTTTTCAGGAAAATAATTTAAACCTAAGATTCTGTATCTAGCTAAATTTTTAATCAAATGTGAAGGCAAAAAGTTTCTGAAGTATGAGGATTTTTTCATACCCCTTCTTGAAGACATTTGCCAGTACAATGAAGATGAAGATCAAGAAAGAAGATAGGTAGTTCAAGAAATGGTGAAACTAATCTGTAAACCAATGTAAAGAAAACCTAGAAAGAAATCGTTAATTGTTGAACTTTAAGAAAAATGTGTTCAGGTAAACAAGAATTCCAGACAATTAGACAACATGAGTAACAAACTGGAAAAATTGTGTCTGTGATAAAGAAGACATATTTGTATACCTCCCACAAGAAAAAATAAGGACAATGAAATTCAGGAAAAAAAAATAGTTCTCTGCTGGTGGAATGTAAGAAAGGACAATTCATCTGAACTAGCAAGAAGTCTTCTAGGAGTGGTACAGTGACCATAGGAGGAAACTAACTAGTCTGTACTGTGCTAAAACTGTAACTGTACAGAGGAAATAGAATTTTAGTAGCTTTTCAGACTCATCAATGGTTAATCTTTACATTGTCATGATAAACAATTTTTACTGATTGTCTTCTTTTTGAATCACTGTAGCAAAATGCAACAGATACATTTATGTTTACTGAACTAATGTAAATGTTATCTATATTTACAAATGCTAAAGTCAAGGTTTAACTAACCTAAGTTGGGAGGTAGAGGAAAAGCATAGAAATAGTGGTGTCCTTGTCTAATACACAGAATATACAAGAGAAACTGTTGGGATTGTGGGAATAAAAAAAAAAATAAGAGATTTAAATATTATTTAAAGTGACAAAAATACGTAGAAGAACTGAAGATAAACAGTTTTACTACCAAAATTTCCAGACAAATAGGGAAAGGGAAGGATGACAATAAGCGAGGTATTTATCTGTCATCACAAAGAATGAATAATGTCTAAACGCTGAATTCAGAAATACTAGTAGATAATGCCTAAAAGCTGGTAAATTAATAAACACAAATGTAAGCATATTATTTAGCAATATGGAGGTAACCATCGAAGAAACTAAACAAAGAAGTTGACTTGATAGTTGAAGACCTGATTGTTTACAACATTGTGCTAAGATATTGCCTGTCTTTGGTTACTGAAACTATCCATCTTAGATTTCCAGTGGTAATCTTGCCCGTATGTTTTACTTTCTAACCATACAGCATGAAATGTAAAGCAGCCAAATTCTAATTTTAACCATGCTATCTAGGTGAAAAAGAAAACAGACAAAATTAAGGAAGATGTCCTTAATGATGAAGATGAAAAAACAAAAGGAATGTGGGATTCCATTAAAAGGTAATTACTAATGAATATTTTAACACATACCTAGATTGATCCAGTCTAGTATGTGGAAGTTCCACAGGTAGTAAAAATTTAAGTACAGCAGGGGTCCTCCAATCTAGGAGGGATAATATAAATACATAAATGTTACTGCTATGTACAAGATAGAAAACTAGAGCTGTAAGACATGAAAATAAAATACAAACTAATGGAGAAAAATGATATATCTAGTTACAAGGAACCTCAGGAAATAATCCTTGGAGAAGTGAGTGGCAAAGATCTGTTTTAAAGGACAGTCAGGATTTCAAAAGTTAAAGATTGAGTGAAGGTGGTTGCATGAAGGCAAAAAGATTGGGTATGTTCCTCAAAAGAAAGTAGCCTAGCTAGGTGCAACTTGAAAATAATAGGGAATCTTTATGTTAGATGGAGACCTATATTAGTTTTATTGTTTAAAAAGGAACACAGGCCAGGAGTAATGGCTCACACCTGTAATCCTAGCACTTTCAGAAGCTATGGCAGGAGGATTGCTTGAGCCCAGGAGTTCAAGAGTAGCCTGGGCAACATAGCAAGACATAGCAATTTTTAAATATCTACAAAATATTTAAAACGTATCCAGTCACAGTGGCATGTGTCTGTAGTTACTCAGAAGTAACTTCGAGTTACTCAGAAGGCTGAGGTGGAAGGATTGCTTGAGTATGGGAGGTCAAAGTTGCAGTAAGCCAAGATCATACCACTGCACTCCAGCCTGGATGACAGAGCGAGACTCTGTCTTGAAAAACAAACAAACATAAGGAATATATTGGCTCAGATACCTAAAGAATCCAGAAGTACACTTGGCATTGGCCACTGGGTGATGTGGTGTGAAAATAGTCTTTTTCTGTCTCTTAGGTCTACTGTTTCTGTGTCTCCTCCATTTTAAGATAGACTTTTTTTTTTTGAGACGGAGTCTTGTTCTGTCCGACAGGCTGGAGTGCAGTGGCACAATCTCAGCTCACTGCAACCGCCGCCTCCTGGGTTCAAGCAATTCTTCCACCTCAGCCTCCCGAGTAGCTGGGACCACAGGCACATGCCACCATGCCCTGCTATTTTTTGTATTTTTAGTAGAGACGGGGTTTCACCATGTTGGCCAGGATGGTCTCGATCTCTTGACCTCATGATGTGCCCGCCTTGGCCTCCCAATGTGCTGGGATTACAGGCGTGAGCCACCGCACCCAGCCTAAGAGAGGCTTTTAAAAGTAAAAGTGTACTACTTTTTAGTAGTGGAAGAAAGTTGCCTCTTTCCAAACAGTACCAGCAAAAGTTCCAAGGCTGACTCATGGGTTCAACTATAGCTATGTGTCCCAAACTGAACTGATTTCTGTGACTCTGATGACCAAGCTTGAGTCATATGCCTACTTCTAGAATTGGTGGGAAGGCCCACCTAAACCTCATAGAATGATATGGGAGGAAGAATGATTCCCCGTAGAATACCAGGTTGTTAGTAGAAGGGGAACAGATATTAGGTGAGCAAAAACAAAAGCTGTCCCTGTAGATGCACATTGTAAAGAAATTTGAATGCCCATTTTAGAGATTTGAACCTAATGTGAACTATGACGGCAAATCACTGATCATTTTGATCAAAGATAAGAAATAGAAACGTTAGCCAAAATAGATTTAACAACTAAAATGTATTTGATTATACCAGCCAAAAGCACTTCCATCATTTTGAATTTTGCCCAGTTTAAGCCTCTTTTTCTATACTTGACTCCTTGTTTGGTAAGAAAAATCATGTTGCTGTCAGAGTATGTGCTTTGAACAAGTTACTGATAAAGAATCAAGTCTACTCATTCTGGGATGATTTGGAGGGTAGGTATGTTTGACAGGGGATAATAGAATAGAATCTGAGCAATTTTAAGAGTATCTGTCCAAAAGCTTCCATGAAAATTAGATGATAGAAATAAGAATGTTTAAAGATAAACTGTTCAATTATGGTATAACCACTTGCTATAGAAAAAGGATACCAAAAGCAAAATAATGCTTCATTAGAAACAGAGATAGTAAGTTTTTGGGACATTAACTGCTCCAGATACATAGTATTGTGCAACTTATGATGCTTTGACTTTTTTCATCATAGTTTTAGTCCTGGCTTAGAATGATTATTTTTTCTTGCCGTTGAATCAACTTATTTTCTTAGTTGGGGCATTACAAGATTTGAAAAATACTTCTGTCGTAACAATTTGTATTTGGCAAAATACCTTTGAAGATGATTGTAAGTTGTTGACCAAATTTTAGTCATTCTAAATATCTGTCTATATATAAAATATTTTTCAATGAATGTTAAATAGGAAGAAAAAGATGGATTTATACATTATAAATACTGCAAATAAAAGATTCATTTTTGCATATGAAATGGGCCTATACAAAAATGAAATGGAGCTGGTCTAGCTCCAAAAATGTAATGAAAATGGCAACTGGGCCCAGTTGTAAACCAGTGAGTAGACATGGCTCCCTAGTGCCTTCTTTGTCATGGAAGTCATCCAGAGTACCAAGAGGGTACTCCATAGCCTGCATGGAGGAGAAAATTTGCTTGGTCAGAGGAGCTTCAAATTGCAGGTGGTTTAAAAATATTTTAGCCTGGGGAGCCCCATCAGCAGCCCTCACACACCTACCCTGTTACTACATAAATTCTTGCTGTGCTATAGCTCTACACTTCCACATTCTGTTTCTTCCTTCATTATTGGCCTGTTTAAAGTTTCAGTACACTAGATACGGCTATGTCAGGCTGTAATTCACTCTCTGTTCTCAAAACAACCTTTGGCAACTCACAGAATTCAAAAATACCAGCCAATTAACCTAGAAACAATTACATTCCATGTTACAAAATTTTTTTTAATTCATAAAGCTTCAAATGATAGTAATTGTGAAATAATTCAATATTAATTTATTTGTAAATGTTATACAGTATTTATACTTTAGTAAGTCTTTTGAAATACATTTCTGTATTTATTGCTTGTATTTAGTATTTATGCATACAAAGTTTCCATATGTATATTTAAGAAATATCAATTACTTTTTTATTCCAAGTGTCACAGTAAGGTTGCATAAAGAAGACAAAAAGGAAAAAGATGTCCTAAACATTTTTTCAGTTGCTTCAGGTCATTTATATGAACGCTTTTTAAGGTAGGTATATTTTTTAGCCTTATATTTTGAAAAGGAAATACATTTACATGGTTCCAATTTCAAAAAGGAAAAGGAATATACACTGAAAAAGAAACCTCCCACCTCTGCTTCCTTAATACTCCATTCTTTTTCTCACAGGAGACTCATAGTATCATTTTTATATCCTGCTAAAGAGATACACACACATATGTAAATATATATGTGTGTATATTTATTTATTTCTGTTTTTCAGTTATTTTACCCAAATAGTAACAAAGAATATACTACTTTACACCTTGCTTTTTTCTGGTTTACTTAAAATTATGAGAAATTTCATGAGTTTGGCTTGATTTGGAATATTGGTTTTATATATATATATATATATATAAAATTATTGCACTTTAGGTTCTGGATTAGATGTGAATAACATGCAGGATTGCTGTATAGGTACCTACATGGCAATGTGGTTTGTTGCCTCCATCACCCCATCACCTATATCTGGCATTTCTCCCCATGTTATCCCTCCCCAACCTCCCAACAGACCCCAGTGTGTGATGCTCCCCTCCCTGTGTCCATGTGTTCTCATTCAGCACCTGCCTATATGTGAGAACATGTGGTGTTTTATTTTCTGTTCTTGTGTCAGTTTGCTGAGAATGACGGTTTCCAGATTCACGCATGTCCCTACAAAGGACACAAACTCATAATTTTTATGGCTGCATAGTATTCCATGGTGTATATGTGCCACATTTTCCTTGTCCAGTCTATCATCGATGGGCATTTGGGTTGGTTCCAGGTCTTTGCTATTGTAAACAGTGCTGCAGTGAACATACATTTGCATATATCCTTATGATAGAACAATTTATAATCCTTTGGATATATACCCAGTAATGGGATTGCTGGGTCAAATGGAATTTCTATTTCTAGGTCCTTGAGGAATCGCTACACTGTCTTCCACAGTGGTTGAACTAATTTACACTCCCACCAACAGTGTAAACGTGTTCCTATTTCTCCACATCCTCTCCAGCATCTGTTGCTCCAGATTTTTTTAATGATCGCCATTCTAACTGGCGGGAGATGATATCTCAATGTGGTTTTAGTTTTCATTTCTCTAATGAACAGTGATGATGAGCATTTTTTCATATGTTTGTTGGCCTCATGTCTTCTTTGAAAAGTGTCTGTTCATATCCTTTGCTCACTTTTGAATGGGTTTGTTTGTTTGTTTTTCCTAGAAATCTGTTTTAGTTCTTTGTAGATTCTGGATATTAGCCCTTTGTCAGATGGGTAGATTGCAAAATTTTTTTCCCATTCTGTTGGTTGCCGGTTCACTCTAGTGATTGTTTCTTTTGCTGTGCAGAAGCTCCGGAGTTTAATTAGATCCCATTTGTCTATTTTGGCTTTTGTTGCCAATGCTTTTGGTGTTTTAGTCATGAAGTCCTTGCCTATGCCTATGTCCTGAATGGTTTTGCCTCGGTTTCCTTCTAGGGTTTTTATGGTGTCAGGTCTTATGTTTAAGTCTTTAATCTAACTAGAGTTAATTTTAGTGTAAGGTGTCAGGAAGGGGTCCAGCTTCTGCTTTCTGCACGTGGCTAGACAGTTTTCTTCAAGACTGCAAATAGACATTTTGTAAATGACAGGCAAGAAAATACATATATATGTATGTATTTGGTAAATTGTCCTTTTTTACTGAATAATAATTGGTTTTATAAAAAGGAAGGGGGTGAGAGGAGAAATACCTATTGCAAAGTGCAGAAGGCTATTTTTAAACCATTTATATAGAAAGGTCACAGAGAA